TTAGTTTTACTTGATGATTAGCCATAAATTGGCAAATTCGATCTGAAAATTTAATTTTGTCAACTTTTCCCTAAATACTTTTTCTGTTTCATTTGTTAGATTTTTTAATTTCAGTGCATTAAATAACATCAATTTTTTATCCTTTATGCCAATTTGGAATTGTCTTTTATTTGTTGTTTTACTCCTTAATTAATTGTATTTGCCAGAGAATATTCTTCCATATTGTCATATTTTGGAAGTGAAACCATCTACCTTTTTGGTGTACATGAACATGTTCTCTGCAGAATCAGGCTTAAATAGATATATACGGTTTATGTGATGATGTGTCATTTACTCAACCTTATTACTTGAATTTTCATAACCTGAAAATCTCAACAAAATATATCCTAGGGTTGAACACCTGCAAAGAGGGCTCGGTATGTAGAAAATACACAGAGTTTTACAATTCATCCACCGAATTCTGCAGCACTTTTTCCAATGGCGGCTACAAGGTGGTGCCAGACTCGGAACCCTGCATGGTGTTCACTTTTGACACCTCGAAACCCAATCCAAATACAGCCGTGGCCCTTGAAGCAGCGACGAAATTGGTGTCATAGAAGACAGGGGTCCACTGGGGCTAAAATTCATTCCCCAAACCCACAAGGATGACCAGGCCTAGATGTTTTTTTGAACGCTCAAATTCAAATAGATGAAAATGACCAGAAGATTTTACTTTCTTTCAAGGGAATGCTCTAATTCTGTAATGTAAACAAAACAGTTCTTGTTTTAATGGTTGATCATACTGATTTCATGATTGGTTGCAAAACACACACTTAACTGGACGACTGTTGATGAAGGGCTATTTGATAGATCTCTGTCTCTGGTCTTGGTCTCTGAAATAAAGCAAATTTGCTTTCAAGAAGTAAATAAATGATGCGCTTCAGATCCGCTGGTTCGGGTTTCTTCTTCATAAAATAAAAAAGCCTTCGACAATATGTTATCTGTAGCAATTATAGATTACAGGCATGCACTGGAAATTCTTGTGCATACAAAAATATGTCGCAATTTACTGCTCTATTCTTACTCTGCTCTTTGCGGTCAGGTTTTATTTGAACCATCAAGTGCAACCCAATGGACATTCCCGCTGTTGCTGCCGTCATTACAAGTTATCAACAACAAAAAATTGAAGTCGAACCTTAACTTGTTTACGCACAATGCAAAATAGTGTGATGTAGTGCACTGTAGTGGTGAAACTTAAAGTAAAAAGAAAGATACTTTTATAATGATGGAATAACAAATAACAAAACTCTGAAATATAATTTCATACAGAGAGACAAAAATAATGATAGTGAGAGACGTATATGAAGACAACGACAATGCAAAAAAGCCCTATAAATACAGACCTAAGTATCGTGGATTAAGTTTAGTTTAATTGTTTCATAATAGCTTACACAATATTTGGCAACTTAAATTTTAACAGCAGCATATGACGTCCAGGTGATAACGGGATTGCCTAAAACAATACCAAGTTATCCAAAAAATCATTTTGTGCATGCATGATTGAAACTCGGTGTTAATGTCACCAGATTCCGCATGCCCCCGCCATTAATTTACATCCTGTTACTTGATATTGTCACGTATGATTCACATGTGACATCACCGCTTATAATAATACACCCCAAACTATGATTCAGCTATTTGTTCAACACGTAAGCGATCATGGCAACAATTCTGATTTTCTATATGGTGTTTTTGACCATTGGAGTCGCGGTACCTCAAAACAAAACTAATAGTCTAGGCTATTACTTGAACAAGTGCGTAACCTTGCCAGTTGAAGGGACAAGTAAGACGAGACCGTCCGCCGAACCCGGACTGGAGGTGAGTGTGTGTGTGTGTTTGTGTGTGTGTGTGTGTGTGTGTGTGAGAGAGAGAGAGAGAGAGAGAGAGAGAGAGAGAGGGAGACTAAAATGAACGATATATATATATATAGTTTGTTTTCCTTTGTAAATATAGCATATTGCTGGAGTGAAATTCACCGGTTTGATTTAGTTTTATCATATGTAAGTAGCAAGTTTTTTTCTGTGAGAGATGGCACCACTGCAGGCTGTTTGAATTATGTACATTAGTTATAACATTAGTTTGATAATATGGAAGCATTTAAAATTTAATTGCATACGTTTTCACACATAACGCGAAAGGAAACCATAGTATATACGATGCTTCACTGTACATGCCTTTGCCCATGACTTTGGAAACGTAGGCTTTGAATTTGCTTGAAGAGGTTTAAAGAGTCAAAAGAAAGGGTCACCCTCAATGCAATGCTAATAATGATACAGAAAATATGTCATTTACCAATAGTTTTTATTCAACTTTAAAAGGATTTTTTCCACAAAATTTTGCCTATTGTCCAAACAATGAACGAACTAAAAAGGTCACAGAAAATCTTTTCTACAGTATCCTCTGGACTGGATAATGGACCTGACCCGTCTACGACTGCAAGCAAAACTTCATATTTCATTTCGTTCTTTTTTTGCGTAACAGTCGCGTCGCATTAATATCGAATAGTAGAATTTCATAATCATTCTGTTTGCAAAGATGCAGGTAAGCACGTTGACTATAAAAGCCGATAAAAAGCATAGACAAACATTTGCCATCTATCAACCATAGGGTGTAAAATAAACACATAAAAACACAGGCAAAACATATGTAAACAGTTTGTTTTTATTCCATCCAGCACAAAACTAATGTTAGTTTAATGCTATGTCTAGTCAGCCTCCACTTAAACTGCAGGAAACCAAACATAGTTATCAAAAGGGAATCAAACTGCAACCAAACACTCAAACACATACAAACACACACAAACACAATCATAAACACAATCAGACACACATATTCACACTCTCAAACACGCACCTTTGGTTCATGCGTTGGGTTTGTTGGGTATAGGGGGGGGGGCAGGTCGTTTTACCTTATTTATTAACACGTAAATCAGATTGAATTGCGCAACAGCCCCCCTCTCGGCGATTTTCATTTACTATGATTGCTGATAGCTTAACCCCATAGCGCCGGGAACCGCACATATGCGGTTCATTTTAAAAAGTCCTCAGTGCCGGGAACCGCATATACGCGGTTTCTGTGTTTACATGCTTGTACTGTCCCCTGTCTTTTGTAACAATTCATGCTTCTATCACAAAACTAACTTAATGTTAGTTTTTTGTTTACTACCGGCTTTTGAAAGACGTGTAGCGAGAATTAAATAATGAAAAAGCGGTTTATTTCAATCATTGTCGAGGCCCTACGAAGTCATAATGGCGACGAGAAGTCAGCAGAAGTTATGGGTTGAGAAATGTTTTAGATTTGTTAGAAAATTCAGACTTCGGGAAGAGTCCTTGATAGATTTTGATACTCCGATAACTTCAAAGATGATGTAACTTTGCCGAGTATGAGTTGTCAGAGAGCAGATTCGGACGTGGGGCTTGATTTATGAAAAACGCTGATGATACTAACGGCAGTAACCAAGCAGACGACAATAGTAATTGGAATGGCTATATCGCTGATAAAATGACTGTAACCGTGGCAAGTCAGACTAAATGTTGCCTTGTGTGCTGCATCAACGTGTCTTTTCCTGCTTGTGTATAAATACAAATGTCATATGTTACGTTGAACTGCATCAAGATGTCTTTTCCTGCTTATGTCTAAGTACAAATGACATATGTTTACTTGTTTGCTGCATCAACATATGTCTTTTCCTGCTTGTGTGTAAATACAGATGTAATATGTTTACTAGTGCGCTGTATCAACATATCTTTTCCTGCTTGTGTATTACAAATGCCAAATGTACAAATGCCACGTTAACTTGTATTTTTATGATGCAATTTTTATTCACGAAAGTGTAATATTTGCTCATGATAATGTTTGTATTCTTGTACATGGTTTGAGTGCTAAACAAAATTTTATGAGTATCCTGGTTCAGTTGATTAAAAAAACTATGAAAAACTATCGTAAAAAGCTCTAAATTTACAGTCTTTTTGTAATTATTAAAGTAATTAGGTGGAAGTCTTCTAGTCAGCTAGCCTGCCTGTATATTGTGCAACTCTCTGACGTGATGCAAGTTTTTAGGTACAGCACGCATCCCAGAAAATTTATTATATCTCAAAAACTAAATAAGATATCTTTCTGAAATTTTCTGACATTGTTTAAGATATATTTCAAATGTTTATGAGAAAATTTCAACAAATTATTTGGTAAAGTGAAAAAGAATGTGCATGCTGAAATTAAAGTTTTGTTTTTTACTTCTCTTCGAGAAAAGCAAGTCTCATATTTAAACTCCTGCTATTTCTACCTAAGTTAACAAATGTGAATAACACTGATATGACTTTAAAGCTCACATTCTTGGCTTTCTAAAAATGTACAGTTTATAGGTGTTTTCTAAAGAAGTGAATACATTATCATCGATTAAATGAGGCCGCCTGAAAAATTGAGTGCATCTGGGTAGAGGGCTCAGGACCAAGGGCACTTTCTAGGTCAGATGCTGCCAGGCTCTATGGGGTTAATTCCTCAGCTTTTATTTTCTGCTTGTTTGCCATTAATCTGTTGTAGGTACGACTGTAAGAGTCGTTGTCATGGTGACACATCGTTTCCGAGACCAAAAAACTTAAATATTGTAAATGCAAGTGTAGCTTTTAATAATTTTTAATAATTTCAAATGTACAGTCTAAGAACTAGTGCTGCACTATACTTTACAGTCATCAGAAATTTCCAAGATGGTAACCAATGCAAGATCGGGTCCTTTTTTTTGCTGACATTGAATTATTTCAATAAATTTCAACACTTGGATTTCAAAAAAATAAGAAATAGGAATAAGAAAAATACTTTGATGTAAAGAGTAGAACGGAGTATCAGATGCAGCCTTTTATTTAGATACAAAGTCCTGATATACTCCGACCAGTACACATGAACAATGTGCAGCTATCATTGGCCAGTACAGGGGAATTAACCATGTCCTTTAACCTCTGTTTTAGTGCCCAAGTTTCCGAAAAAGATCCTGCTGTTATGTGAATGCAGTTGCAAATATCTTGGAGAACCATGTGTGGAATGAGATGATCACTTACATGCACTGTCCTCAGAAACCACGCCTTTCCCCGGAGTGTGAGAGACTAACCTTTGAGCAGTCTTGCTTCTATGCCTGCTCACCAAATCTGGGACCATGGATCTATAGATATCTCGTATGTATTAACCTTTGTTGAATTGTCCCTTTACTGAGTCTCTCTCTCTCTCTAGCCCCATCAACAAATATTTTATAATTTTTTCAGCATTTTGATGCCCTCGATAATGCGCCTCTTTGTGCCAGTCAGTGTAACAAGTGGTGGGACGCCTGTAAAGAGGAATATACTTGTCACAGGAACTGGATTACTGACATGGACTGGAACGGTGAGTGACGTCATCCGGAAAAAGGTGGGGTAGCATCGGTAACAATTTACTGCTACTTGGGCATATGACTGGCCGTTTTTTGATACTTCGATCTAGAAAAATTCATTTTGTTAACACTCCCTCACAACATTTTGCTTCATTTGTAATATTTTTATTAAGTGCATTGAACTAAATACAGAAATGTGAAATCGTCGTGGTGTTTTGTCGTTATCCTAAAATTGTTATATATGCTAAAGTGCCATTCCAATTTTTAACGTCTTTATTTTATAATTAAAAAAAATATTAAACCGTTATTTTATTAATATTTCGTGTTATTTTTTTGTGTGTATAATCGGGTGTAATTCTACTTATATGATACGGTGTCATCTACATGTACTCAATTTTATTGCTATGTTTTGAAATTCTTAACTTCATAATTGGAAAATCTAAAAAACAATTCCAGGGTTGAACACCTGCAAAGAGGGCTCGGTGTGTAGGAAGTACACAGAGTTTTATAATTCATCCACCGACTTCTGCAGCACTGTTTTCAATGGCGCCTACAAGGTGGTGCCAGACTCGGAACCCTGCATGGTGTTCACCTTCGACACCTCGAAACCCAACCCGAATACAGCCGTGGCCCTTGAAGCTGCGAAGAAATTGGTTTCACAGGAGGCCAATGGCAAGGTCAACTGAGGCCGGAGATCCTCCCACAGACCGACCCAGTATCCCTTTGCTTGTTCACGTAGTATGCAAAATAATGTAATGAAGTGCAGAGTAGTGTTGAAATTGAAAGAAACAAGGCAGAAAAGCTGTTAAATTTATAGACATAAAAAAAATGCAGAAAATAGGTCATTTTGTCAATTTTGATGCAATGATAAATAATGCTTATTATAGTGCAGTCAATCAAGACTGGATTTAAATCATGCACAACAGGTAACATGGTCAATAACAGGAGCGGATCCAGAGATATTTTCTGATAGTATTTCAAATTATTTTTTGTCAATTTTGATGCGAAATAACACAATGATTAACTAGAAAATAATACCTGTTACTTCACAGCAAGAACTTTCTAAATTTGATTTTGAATGGTCAATGTCCGCCTAGTATATTCATGCAATTTTGTAGCTGAAATCATGTGAAGATGGAGATATATGCAATTAAAGATGGTAGTGCCGAATTCGGACTTTGGGGGAGGGAGTGTTATAATAAAGCCTGGCTTGTCTATGCAGGATCAAACCTGAATTCTACATATAACAATTGATTGCTTGATTGCTTTTGATGTTTGTAAGTTTTAGTATTTTTAGTTTTCACTACATTTATTCTATTTACACAAAATATAGCACTATTTTACCGAGGTGAAAATTGAGTCTCAAAGAGACTACATAAGCCATGAGCCATCACTGTCTTTAGACAAAATATTTTGGGGATTCCTTCCTAACTCATGGATAACTTCCCAATGTGGATCCATACAACAAATTTGGTTGAAATCCACCGATCCCCATCTTGCCACCCCGGGCTGGTTTTCTCGTGGACAAGCACTTAAAAACACCTGACATTAAGAAAATTTGATTACCATTGGGTTTCATGTCCATGGGAGTTCTAAGTCCCATATTGAAAATGCCAATATGTGAAAGATAAAAATTTCCCAAAAATGTACAACTGAAAAAAAGCCAAATGCACCGTTTTTGCAACGCAGACAGCATTTTAGTCCTATGTTTCTTTCCTGTAAGTTTAAGAAGAGTAAGTAACATGTTTTTTCTTTAATGGTCATTGTAACGGCGGTGCCCAAAGTAGGGTTACATTAAATTTTGATGCAATATGAAATAATGCTTAACAGCAAAATTACCTTCAAAATTTTAATAATAAAATAAAAGTATCATTTATATTTAGAAAACATGACTTGCAAAGGTCTTCAAACCTATGGAAGTTCAGTCACAGCTTGAAAATGACAATATGCAAAAAAGTAAAATTTCACAAAAAAGCTACATGTATAATTTCCAAAAAAATTATCCAATAAAACAGAATTTCCAGCTAAAGCTGCATTTTAGTCCCCGGCAACTTTTCTCTTGGAGTGAAAAAAGTAAGTGACGTGGTTTTCCTTGAATGGTCACTATAGAGGCAGTACCCAAATTAGGGGTTTTCTTCAATTTTCCTGCCATTTTTTGGGAAACATTAAACAATGTCTTATGGAATTTCTCTAAGTTATACTACATGTATTTGAAACTATATACTGGTATTTGTTCGGCTTTTGTGGCAAAAATGACTTCATATGTATTTTTTAAGTTTTTGTACAGACCGGTTTAATTGTCTCTTTTCTTAATCCCACTGAAGTATTACTGTCATATATTTCTGATGTATATATGTCATTTACTGAATGTCATTTTATCCTGTACTTCTACATGTATATATTATATGAAAAAAGACAACAGCAAACTTTGCTACTTTTGATCTACTAAATTATAACGATTAGATAATAATAGACTGTAGTATAAAAACACTCGAGACACTGGTGTTTGATTTAAGCTTGTCGGGTAATTATGTCACCAAGTTCCGCTGTGCCCTTTCCTTTGGCTTAGTCATTAGTTTCCAGCCTGTTACTTAATATTGCCACGTATGATTCATATGTGACATCACCGCTTATATAAATACACCCCAAAGTATAATTACCAGGTATTTGTTCAGCACGTAAGCAATCATGGCAACAATTCTGATTTTCTGTCTCGTACGTGCTATTGAAAATTGGAGTCGTGTCACCGCAAAACGAAACTGGTAATTTAGACTATTACTTGAACAAGTGCGTAACCTTGCCAGTTGAAGGGGCCAGTAAGACGACACTGTCCGCCGAACCTGATCTAGAGGTGAGAGAGACGCAGAGAGAGAGTTTCATGATTTCTGTCTTTCCTGGGTAAATATAGCATAATGTTGGAGGTTGGAGTGAAAATTACCGGCTCAATATAGTTTAACCATGTGTGAAACACAGAAGAATAAGAATTAAAATCGATGTCATGAAAAAACAACATTTGGCAAGAATTCTTTGCTATGAGAGACGGCACGAATGCATGCTGTTCAAATTATGTACATTATTAATAACAGTAGCATAATGATAATATGAGAGCATTTAAAATTTAATTGCATACGTTTTCACATAATACAATATAACTCGATAGAAAACCCAAGCATACAGTGCTACACTGTGCTTGCCTTTTCTTCACAAAGACGTGTATAGAAATTAGGCCTTAAATTTGTATGAAGAGGGTTTAAAGCGTAAAATATACCCTTTTAGGAAAAGAAAGTGTTACCCCTAATACAATGCGCTAAACTCCTAAAAGGATTTTGTAACAAAACTTAATTGATTGTACAACCAATGCATGAACTAACGATAGTAAAAAAGACACAAGTTCGCATTTAAGTATTTTGCTCAGTATGAATTCAGTCTGTTTGCGCGTGAAATTAGAAAGTTTTTTAGACTGCAATCATATCGTCATATTTTATTTCATTTTTTTGCGTAACAGTCGCGTCACATTGATCTCGAAAAGTAAAATTACATAATTATTCTGTTTGCAAAGATACAGGTAAGCAAGTTGGCAATAAAAGGCGATAAAAAAGCAGCCTGCATACACAAACATTTGACTTGTGTTAACCATATAGGGTGTAAAACAAACGTAGACAAAAACATATGAAATTATATAATTTGTTTTTATCCCATTCGGCAGAAAACAAAGTTCAAGAAACAAAACAGCAATAAAAAGAGAATCAAACTGCATTCGTCCCTGATCAGTTTTCTCGGCTATTTTGTGACTGCTATACAATCGCGACATTGATATTTAGAAGGCTTACATCACAAATTATGAAAAAGTCTTTGCCCAAATAGACCACCATCCTACGCCTATTTTATTGCAGTCACCTGCAACCTTCCTGCGACATATTTTCGAACGCTTGCGATTGGTAAAAAAACCTGTTAGCTACCAAAATACTAAAGACCGTCAATCGACCATGCAGTTACAACTACAACCTTCTAGCGACCTGCTGCCGACTACATGCGACTGGTAAAAAACTTGTAAGCGACCAGTCGACTAAATACGGTCAATCGACCGTGCAGTTGCAAATGGTATGCTACTAATTATAGCAACTTACTGACAACCAAGAAGAGACCGAAAGGCAAACTTTAGGATACCGATAATTTTCATCTTTAGTCGCACCGGTTGTCGGTGCACAAAAATTGGCCTTCATGTGTCAACGATCGCAGGCGACCTGCAACCTTAAGCGACCACTTTAAAACCTAGGGCAACCTCCTTGCGACTGAGGTTGCAAAGAGGTTGCCAAAAGGTTGCAAGCGCAGTGTGACCCAGGCTTTAGAAATGCTACTCTATTTGGCGAGTGTAAAATATTTCGAGTATTAAAAATCCCAAATGTCCCAATAAATACTTTGGGGTCCCTTACTTCATATTCCTTGCCATTATAGTTGTAACATAGTCGTAGCACTTAAACTGGTACATTTTTCCTATCAATGTGGTGGATTTGTCAGTTAATAGAAGCAGTCAAATCTACTCTCCCGTGGCTTTGGTCGTTATTATGACAGGGAAGCTAGGGGTGCAGTAGTGAGTACAGTGCAAAGCCAGTCCCTGCAAAAACATCAAGGCTCTCTGATATTGTCATACGCCATAGATGTACATTTTGAAGCTACTTGTAAAAAAGCGTAGAGACGATGCTAAGTAAGAAAATAGCATATAGAGCAAAAAGCCCTGACGCAGGATACACTTTCAGTCCGGAAGCTTCAGACACAGAGGCCTTTTTCTCTGCAGCGGCCCGAGCCACGGGGATGTTCGGAGTTGGTTTTGCTGGATCGAAACTAAACTCCATGCAAGGTTCGGTGTCCGGTACCACGTGATATCCGCCATCCCAAATGGTGTTGCAGAAATCAGCAGCTGATGTGTACACCTCGGTGTATTTCTTACACACCGCGTCCTTTGGGCAAATGTTCATACCTGAAAAGAAATAACATGGAATATAATACATTTTACGGAAAAAAAGTTGCAAGCACAGAAGTTGCTGTCTGCTTTGGAAAGGATGAAAACATATCACATAATTCCATAAGTCAGGTTTGATAAAAAAGACTTAAAGCACGTGCGTTTGGCATGTACAAGAATAAGGAATGATTCTGGGTTTTCCATGTGGTATTTTGCCTTTATTTTCGTTCCTAACCTTGAACTTTTTCCCTTCCCCTTCTTTTTGCAAAAATCCAACAGAAATGGTAGTTCTAGGTATGGAAGTCCAGGCTCCCATATAAATAGTACAGATTAGGGTTAGTCGGAGTGTTGGACTTAGTATAATGGATAAGTATAATAGATAGTGTAATAGAATATAGATTAGTATAATAGAATGTAATATGTACAAATTAATATGGTTCCTAGTGAACTACCCCCTGTACTATTCCTGTCACGCCAGTTCTTTATCATCTGATCTGGATATGTTCCCCAAATTAAACCCATAGCTATATGTACCGCATTGTTGTTAAGTTGTAGCGTCACAACAACGTAACGTCACTCACCATTACCGTCCCAGGCAGGGTCAGTGAACCAGTTTTTGTGACACGTGTAATCCTCCTTGCAAGCGTTCCACCATTTGTCACATTGGCTGGCGCACACAGGCAGTTTATTGAAACGGTCACTATACGGGTATTCTTGTTAAACAAATAAATATCTAGTATTATTTTTTTAGTATTATATAATGCGCCTCGGTCGATATCGCTTTTCTGAGACCGTCAAAACAATATAATGACCTCTGGCCAAATTTGATAATTGTATAATATCACATGGTTAGACCGGTGAAAAAATGGTCATTATCAGTTCAGCGCCAGTTTTGTGTGTATGTGTGTATTATGTGTGTATGTGTGTGTGATAGAGAGAGATAGAGAGATAAAGAGCGGAATATTTGACATACCCCCCTCACATTCCATGGACCGGAGTTTGGTGAGCAAGCAAAAAAGCACATTTTGCAATTTTGTCAACCGTGATTCACTTTGGTGTTTCTATAAGTTACACATGTACTCACTAGGAATAAAATCGGAGTTCAAGTGACTCCGGATCCAAACTTGGGTGCCTAAAATACACCCAAGTGGAGTCAAGTTGACTCCGATGGAGTAACGCCAACCCGGACCCCACAGAAGGATCACAATTGACTCCATTCACACATCCCTTCATCCCTTGATTTATCTCTACAAAAGTCACAATGACCCCATATTAAGAAATTTTTGACTCCTTGACACATTATGAAAAAAGCAACAACAATAGTGCCAAGTGGAGAGACAGCAGGCACCGTTTATTAACGATTGGTATGTACCCGGACGAGTTTTGAACACAGGCCCTCCCGCTTGAGAGGCGGACACTCTAACCACAAGGCCAGCCGGTAATATATGGTGTTGATGTAGCAATAACAAACAATTTGTAAATCTGTTAATATACAGCATCACACACACACACACACACACACACACACAGACATATCAATGAGTTAGCATACCTCCCCAGTGACACGCGGGTCAAACCTACAACCTGGAAACAAAACCTGCTGACCTGTATACCAACTGAAAGCCCGGGCCAGTAATAAGTGCACGAGTTCTGCATGCAGAAACACACAGACGCCACTTGTTCATGCATAAAACCAACTATGGCCAATAAAGTAATGTTTATACTAACAAAGGATGATGAAAACTGTTCTCTCTACGCCCTCTGCTCACTGCCATCACAAGTACTGAAACGAGCGAAAAGAGTTGGTGAAAGGGGTCAGCCAGACACTGGCCCCTGGTAATTTGACTCTGATTTTAGAGTCAGATTGACTCCATAAGAGCCAGGGGGTGATTGGCTCTGATAAGAGAGTCTAAGGACTCTGGTAGTGGAGTAACTTGACCCTTATATAGGAGTCGAATTAACTCCATGAGGGTCAAGGGGTGCTGGACTCTGACTAGATCGAGAGTCAAATGACTCCAACTTTATTCTAAGAGCTATTTCAAACTATGGGGTGGTATTTGGTCAGCTTTTGTAGCCAAATTTGACTTCAAATGTACCTGTAACATTCACCTTTTAAACGTGAATACATGTACCAGTATTGCCTGTCCCACGGTAACAGATTATCGTGTTCTTTTACCTCGACATATGACATTGACCCCGTATTCAACAGGAGTCTCGCTGAAGTGCCTAAAACGAAAGTATACTGTAGTTCAAACAAATATTTTGTGATTTGAATTCAGAATTCCGAATCCATATGCTTTAAATGACACATACAGACTTTGCCTTTTAATTCAAAACAAGTGGTCCATATTGTTTCACCTTCAATTGACTATACGTCTGGATATAAACATTTCTGTACATCTAAAATTCGACGGATCGTGGCAGTCGTATTGGATTAATACATTTCAATAAAATTCTTCAAATCCTAAATCATAGGAAGCGTTCATATTATTACAATACAATTGTTTAGCACATTACCTGAGAAAGGCATGTTTTGGGACATATAACCAGCTTTTAAGGGCAGATGTCTGCAATACCACATTAAGTTATCAATCAGTCAGAACCTGCTGAGACACTACGAGACAAAGGAAGGCCTTGTTGACAGACGCAGAGGTCAACGGATGTACCTCAAGACTTATCAAAAATGGCACAGGTAAAGCTAAGTATATTTTCGACTGCTCAAAGTGCGTCTGATGTTGAAAAGTTTATTTCGGATTACTTGCGACCGGATGAAGATGTCTCCCGTGCCTGTAGCGTTGCCATCGATACATTGGTGCGGTATCTACAAAAAGAAGTACCGATTGATGTCGATTCAGTAATAAAGGTACATTTTCACTCCACGGTTTTGCAATTTTTTGGTTAAAATCTTTCCAATCTCAATCCAAGCCAATCCCACTCTAAATGCAATCGACCCCTCCTCTCTCTCTCGAATAATATCGCTATTCAAGACTAGATTCTTTTCACACAAGGTCAGCAAACACCTAGACATAATAAACATGGCACTGCCGAGGCCAGGTACATTTTTAACGGCTCAGATTATTTCTGATGTTGACCAGTTCATTTCGAGATACTTGCAGCCTGGTAAAGATTTCAATAGTGCATGCGGCGTTGTCATGGATACATTGGTGCAATATCTACAAAAAAATTTCGATTAATAGGGATGCGGTGATAAGTGTACATATTTAACCCACGTTTTTTGCCACTTTTCAGTAGTAAAAAACATTTTCTCGAGAAAGAAAAAAGAGAGAGAGGGAGAGAGAAAGAGGGAGATAAATAAAGAGAAGGAGGGTGTATTTGGTGTGGGGTTGACTTTGAATAATTAGATAACATATACTTGTATAATGAATCTAGTCTCCGTTGTCTTTCTTTCTTTCATTTTGGGCCTGTGTACTTTAAAGTTCGTTCTCCATAAGTGGCAGTTTCTAGTAAACAATACCGTGATAAGATATTCGTGGTATGAATAGAGCTTATCAACGACATTTTATTAATAACTATACCCTTGTGCTTTGGTGGTAAATGAGTAACCCGCACCCCCGACAAAAGCAATTTTTGAGAAAATAAATTTCATTGCGGGTAGAGTTAGGTATGGAATAAACGTCAACAATCCGAAAGCGAAAGTAACGTGTAAGATTGTTAAAAAATACATGAAATTAAGAGTAAGTACTAAACAGTAGCTTATACACGAAACTGAGGTATATATGAGATTTCAAATAGAGTAAATAAGTAGTACATTTATAAGGTAATGAGCGTTGCCATATTTTCTATAGGGAGGATCGCTGGGGAAAGGGACGGCACTGAGAGATAATTCCGACATAGACTGCGTGGTTTTCTTCAATCATGTCGGAGATCTTCGATCGTCCACACGAGCCATGACCGGTCACTGGTTGCAGGAAACCAGGAAACCATTGAGAAGATAAGGCATTGCCTCGGAAATCGGAACCCTTTACCCGAGTTCGAGGTTGTTGGCAAGGCGTCGCATGCCGTGAAACTCCGCTACAAGAGGGGCTGTTTTACCTGTGACGTTGACCTGCTACCTGCCATAGATATTTTGAGGAAAGGTTTGTCAGAATACCCAGCTTAGATTTTGAGGAATTATTATTAAAATCACCATATCACCACTTAAAGTCCATTGAAACAAAATCATATCCGATAATTTTTTTTCACAAATCAAAAGCTGGCACTATTTCTTTCATAGGTACCCTGAAACAAGTGTATAGTGCAATGAAAGAAGTTTCTCCATTCCAGCGTAAGTTCTGTTCAGCATCATTGTTACAGCTTCAAGTAGACTTCGTAAAACATCAAGTGACGGCGGTAAAGGACCTGATTCGTTTTGTCAAATACTGGAGCAAGGAATGCTTTCAGGTGAGAATTGTCATAGAAAAATATCTACATGCATCTTCTCTATCTGGGGCGGTTGTGATGGACTTGTACAAATTGAACTTTTATTTGACCACAAATGGCAAAACGAAGATGTCTTTGTTATACATTAAACATGTTATAGTTAAACATGTATAAAGTGGAGTTCATTTGTGGTTTAAGCAACACTTCGCAAACCGGATTAGATCCAATCGGTGTTGTAAAAGAGATACCCCCATCCTCTCCAACTGATTAAATTATAGAGATATTGCGAAAATGGTAATTTATTTTTATCACCGCTTACAAAGCTATGGGATAGGTTTTACAAACTCCAATTAAGCGTTAGTTATACGTTAAACACGCCCATCGATCATTATAGATACTTTCGATAGGCCACTCGTTTGCAACGACAGCGTTACTTATGTGCTACGCAAAGCGAACGAAGCTTTATCGGTCACCGAATGAGAAACGTATCTATATATAGATATATATAGTTTTAAGTTTCAGCAAAGATGAAGGGAAAAAGGGCGCATTTATTGGCCACCCTTATTTCAGCAGTCCCAACGACTGGTAAGAACCAAAATAAAAGTGCCTTTTGCGGCCAAAATGGATTTATACCAACTGAAATATTTCACAGACCTTGATTTGTTGGAAACTTATCCAGTTTATGTCAGTCCATACTAGTGCCACTTTTATGTGCTTATAAGGAAGAATGATATATATATATATATATATATATATATATATATATATATATATATATAAACCGACAGTTTGATATCCTCCCCACCCGATGAATGCCATACAAGGCCTCAATTTAATCTTTTCATGTAGGATTATGCTGCTCCCAACGTGAGGCTGCCGTCCTCCTACCTCCTGGAGCTTCTTTGTGTCAAGGTTTGGGAAATGGCGGGGAGACCCTCGTTCATGGACAAAAGAAAGGGATTAAAGGCTGTGATGTGGCTACTGATCACAAAAAAACACCAACGAGTGAAGGGGCAAAAATATTACAACCCAAGCAAATATCCACTTTCTTCCACTTTTCGGTACGTATTGAAACATATCGATAATTTTGGGGAAAAACCTACCGTCTTATGCTCAAAATACCACATTGCAGTAAATAAGGACAATTATTAAAACAATATTACTTGAATATATCCTAGGCCTTTTTTTAATTTACATATATGGGCTGGTAAGAACCAAAATAAAAGTGGCTTTTGAGGTCAAAATGGATTTATACCAATTGAAATATTTCCCAGACCTTGATTTGTTGGGAATTAAAGAATAATGCTTTGGGAATTTCAAGGGAATACAGGATGAAATAATGAATTCTGTTTCAAATTAGTTCAGTTTCATCCCAAAATGGTACATTTTGCCTAGACTAACATTTCAACAGATATCTAATGAATACATATGTATTTTGCAGCCTGTTTGTTCAAGATCCTGCCAACCCATTCAATGACCTGTGCAGTGACTTCGATGCGCCCAGCTGGGGCAAAACTCGCCAGGTAGCTAACATGACTCTTAAAATGCCATTGCTCAAAGGACTACACACGGATCATCTCTGTACAAGAAAAAATGTACTAGGATATTGTTCTTAAACTACCAAATGCACCCAATAACTAGTTAAGATATGAAATGAGTATGCAAAACAATCGCTCTAAGACCGGTGTGATTACATTGAGAGGTCATCCATTTTAATTATCATTATCAAACAGGAGATAATTATAGCATGCGGGTAGACACGAACGCTTTTAGACAAGGAGCCTTTAACGAGTACGCCCTGATGCTAAATGTGTGTAAATTTGGTGACAGTTGGTGGTGTCATTTCAATTTAATGGACATTTCTTTACCTCTGTAAAAACCACAGTGAAACGTTGGATTTGAGGGGGTATATGTCATAAATGTCAATAGATGGTAGTTAATATTGATATCTGTACCGCTAGTTTGTATTTTTTGTACCACTAATCATTTTAGTTATGGTATCTGGAATGAAAATCACTATTTATTACAATTTTTTACCTGTGATGTGATAATTTATGAATAAAATCACATGAAGGTGGGACAAGCTTTTTGACCAATGTTGCATATGCATTTAATTTTTGGCTTCATTTTGAAATTCTTAACTTCATAATTTGAAAATCTAAAAAAAAATTCAGGGTTAAACATCTGCAAAGAAGGCTCGGTGTGTAGGAAGTACACCGACTTCTGCAGCACTATATATTTTCAATGACACCTACAAGGTGGTCCCAGACTCGGAACCCTGCATGGTATTCACCTTCGACACCTCGAAACCAAATCCAAATCCAAATCCAGACGTGGCCCGTGGTTTCACAGGAGGTAGAGGTCAAGGTCAACTGAGGCTAAAGATCCTCCCGCAGACCGACCCAGTAGACCAGGCCTATCTGTTTGTGAACGTTCAAATTCAACTTGATGAATAATAACCAGATTTTACTTTCTTTTTCAAGAGAATGTTCTAATTTTGTAATGTAAACAAAACATCTTGTTTAAATGGTTTATCATGCTGATGCCACACTTGATTGCAAAACACACACGTAACTAAATCACTGTACTAAAAAACACGACGACTTTTGATGTAGGGCTATTTGATAGGTTTTCCATAAGTCTTTGTTTCTGAAATTTGCATTATACAAGCAAATAAATGATGCGCTCCAAATATGTTGGTGTCTGTTTTCTTTTTCATATAATCAAAATGCCGTTTGACAAAAAAAAAAAAAAAAAAAAAAAAAAAAAAAAAAATATATATATATATATATATATATATATATATATATATATATATATATATATATATATATATATATATATAGTCAGTAGCAATTAGTAATGGCAGTCACATATCTTTATGGCGGCGATCGTTGTTATTGAGAACTTATAGCAGAAGCCATCAAGAGAATAGTTTCTTTGTTTTTGTCCGTTGTTCAACAGGCAGGGTAGTTTTTGACCTCCCACTTTTAGCGGTCTTCTCTGACGCAAATACCTTTTTCAGTAGGGGGGATTTCACTATTTACAAGTGGTAACACAAATTATGTATCACATTGCAGCTGTGGAACCGGATAATTTAATGTTTAACTAAACTACCTACTGTTAATAATGCATGTACCAAGTAGAACAATACAAGTCACACTCACAATGTGCATGCACTTATCTACTATATAGTCATGACACTTGTCGGAATTACTTAATATATAATCCTTTTAAGCGCGAATACTGCTTGCCATCAGATTTCATGAATCATTATGCATTAACATATGACCTTAGCCTCGTATTCAACACGAGACTGCCAGAGGTTGAAAGCGAAAGTAAATAATATTATGATTAAAACCTTTTCTTTTGTGATTTGGATTAAAAAATGATTGAATCAACACGCTGTCAATGGTACGCGCAGTATATGTGTTATTTCAACATGAACAGCTGCAATATTGCACTGTAATTTATGGGCTGCCAAAAGGGCAAAAAATTATGTCGTCGATTCAGTTATGTTTCGTCGATTCACTGCCTTCCCATCGATTCAGTTTCAAGTTTAAACGATCCTGTCATAAATTCAACATCTACTTTCGTCAATTCAACTGTCAAACATTTCTCATCTACGGTGTATTAAACCAATGCTGTCACTATTTTCGTCGATCGTGTAACTATTCTCGTCGATCGTCTAATCTCGTCGATCGTCCAACTAATCTCGTCGATCGTGTAACTATTCTCATCGATCGTCTATTCTCGTCGATCGTCTCATCGATCGATCGCCAGAGGGCGCTGCGGTAGCACATTGGCCTATCACATGACTATCAAAATGGCAGACAACAAAATGATTGCTAGTGAAATAAGAACATTTTCTCAACAATTTCAATTTTAGTTGTTAATAATTAAAAGATATTCGGTTGTAGGGACATTATTTTCTAGTTGTGCTTAACTCTGACCATGGCTGGCCGAGTTAAAAATTACCGCGTGATTGACAGACAGAAGCACGTGTTGCTACCGCAGCGCCCTCTGGCGATCGATCGATGAGACGATCGATGAGAATAGTTACACGATCGACGAGATTAGACGATCGACGAGAATAGTTACACGATCGACGAAAACAGTTTGACGATCGACGAGATTAGTTACACGATCGACGAAAATAGTGACAGCATTGGTTTTAATACACCATAGATGAGAAATGTTTGACAATTGAATTGACGAAAGTAGATGTTGAATTTATGACATGATCGTTTAAACTTGAAACTGAATCGATGGGAAGGCAGTGAATCGACGAAACATAACTGAATCGACGACATGAATTTTTGCCCTTTTGGCCGCCCATAGTAATTCATCATCGATTAACAATGCGACTATATATAAAGTACAGTACAAATGGGAGTTGACGGATCGTGATGGTCTAATGAGATTAATACACTTCTTCAAATCTTAAATCAGAAGAAAATTTCATATCATTACTTTAAAATTGCGTCACCCACCAACTAGAAAACAGAAGTTCTGTGGGGTAAATACCCAACCTTTTACGCGCGGTATATGTTATGGCGTAGTTTAATGCTAAAAATGTATCAGTCAGTCGGACCCTGCCCTCATTGACGCAATTCAAGGTAAGATTCTATTGATACAAGGTCAGCACACACCTAGACACAACAAAAATGGCACAGAGATTTCAAAGCGTATTTTTAAGGGCTCAGAGTGAATCTGAGGTTAACGGTTTTATTTCGAGACACTTGCAACCGGATGAAGACTTCTCCAGTTCCTGTGGCGTGGCCGTCGATAGATTGGTGAGGTATCTACACAGTGTACAAACAGAACTGCCCATAAAGGTCCGTTCAGTGATAAAGGTACATATTCATTCCAGGGTTGTTTTACAAGTCCTCTCTTTTTAATAGAAAGAGAGAGGGGGGAGGGAGGGAGAGACGAATATAGTTAATTACTTATGTAATTAAGTCATGCAGTCTTTATAGCCTTACAGTCCTTAAAGTAACACACGTGTCAGTAAAGCACTTACAAAAACTATAGTCAACAAACCGAAAAAAAAAAATATAGGGCCTACTTCAAATGCATAATTGAAGAAATAGGGACTGGTAAGTACTAAACGATGGGTAATACACAATATTATATCGAGTTGGTCTACTTTGTCGATATAATTTTAAGTAAAACAAATGGACTGAAGATTTATAAGTTTTAACTCATTAAAATAAGCATTAAAAATTAAGTCCTTCAATAGGGAGGATCGCTGGGGAAAGGCACGGCACTGAAAAATAAGTCCGACATAGACTGTGTGGTTTTCATCAATTATGATGGAGGCATTCAGACGTCCATACAAGCTATGAGTGGACCCTGGTTACAGGATATCATTGAGGAGATAAGGCATTCCCTCGGAAATTGGAACCCTCTACCCGAATTCGAGGTTGTTGGCAAGACGATACATGCCGTGAAACTTCGATACAAGAAGGGGTCTTTTACCTGTGACGTTGATCTGCTACCTGCCATAGATATTTTGAAGAAAGGTTTGTCAGAATATTCGGCTCATACTTTGGGTCACACTGCGCTTGAAACCTTTTGGCAAACTCTTTGCATCCTCAGTCGCAAGGAGCTTGCCATAGGTTTTTAAGTAATTGTACAAAGGTTGCTAAAAGGTCTCCAACGATCGTTGACACATGAAGGCCATTTTTTGTGCACCGACAATCAGTGCAACTAAAGATGAAATTATTGGTATCCTAAAGGTTTTTCGTTCGCCAGGTGTTGCATCGAAAACCAGCGGACCGGATATTAACCCAGTGGCCTTTTGGAAACCACATTGCGAGTTGTCGCCGCCCTTTTTACAGTTGAAAGTCGCAAAGATGATTTCTTATCAAATGTGACCGTAGTAGCACTTGCGACCACAAAGAGATCAAGTATTTAAACAAGAAAATACACCACTGGCCAATGATTATAGCAGTCACCACGCTTCCGTCTTTTGAAAAGGAGCCATTTTACTGGACCCTTTTTGCCTTCTGCGAGAGTAATTTATGAGAAATCAGCTACTGTCACAAGTTTGCAATATATATATATATATATATATATATATATATATATATATATATATATTTTCAATCACCAAGTGGTTGCTGGCAGGTTGCTTTTTTTACTCGAATTGGATGTATAGGACTGGTATCTTATATGTATAGCTTAAAGATGGTCTGAAAGAGGTTGCAGATACCATACTGTAACCTTGTTGCAACCGGTTTGCAACTGCTTGCCAATCAAAATATGCCATAGCTTCTTGATTAGCTCGCAAAGTGATGCCAAGCGACCGCCAGGTTTTGTGGTTGCAAAGAGGTTGCCAAAATGTTGCAAACGCAGTGTAATCCGGGTTTTAGGTAATGCATGTGCGCCAGTTTAGACGAATTATAATCACAATCACCACAGAAAGAAATGTAAAACGTAGGTCTATATTCCAATTCACACCATATCTTTTTCTTTTGCAAGCTTAATAACCTCTGTTTTTTTGTCATAAATTCAAATCCGCATTGTTATTTCAGGTAGACAAAAGGTGTACGGCACGGTGTAAACTCAGAAGTGTGATTCTTGCTCAGCTGCTTATGTATCTGCTGTAGAATACATTTTTATTCCCACGCCTTTGTTATTACAAAGAAATTTGCTATTTATTCTATTCCAGGTACTCCACAGCAAGTGTATTATGCAATGAAATCACTTTCTCCACACTTGCGTGAGTACTGCTCAGCTCCACTGGTTCAGCTTCAAGTCGAGTTCGTAAAATGTCAACAGCCGGTAGTAAAGGACTTGATTCGATTTGTTAAACACTGGAAAAATGAATACTCTGAAAAAGTCTTTAGGGTAAGATCTGTCAAAGTAATTAGGTCTCAGGACCTAAAAAGGCAGGGAGGGGGTAATATTTCAGAGGGTGTTTGGTTTTTCCTGCCGTGAACGCCCCTAAACAGTATGCCTCATTCTACTGCCCTGAAAACTATACAAAATATTCTATATACATGCAGGAGTGTGGTTTTTTATTTTAAAATAATTACGACGAATATGCATATATATGTGTGTGTGTGTTTGTGTGTGTGTGTGTGTGTGTAAGGCAGAACGTTTGATATCTTCCCCACCTAATGAATGTAGCTCCTCATTTTATTTTATTCCGCTAGGAATTTGCTCCTCCCCACGCTAGGTTGCCGTCCTCATACCTCCTGGAGCTCCTGTGTATCAAGGTTTGGGAAATGGTTGGGAGACCCTCGTCCATGGACAAAAGACAAGGATTAAAGGCCGTGATGAGCCTACTGACTGAACGTCGGCATCACGTGCACCGCGTGGAGTGGTCAGCGTTTTACGACCCCAGCAAATATCCACTTAAAGCCACTGATCAGTACGTATTGCAACCCCCATACGCAAAAGCAAGCACTTTTTTTTAGAAACACCCATTTTACAGTAAATGATAAGGTTTGTTAAAAACTATTAAATAAGAAAATGTGAATTCATATTATATTCATATTAAAAATGTAGGTAGGCCTATATGTATGTACCACATATCTCTTGCAGTCTGTCAGTTCGAGATCCTGCCAACCCATTCAATGACCTTTGTAGTGATTTCGACGCGTTCAGCTGGAATACAATAGATTACATGAAAATCAAAACTTTAAAAGCTCCTTTGTTCGATGGTCTACGCATGGATCCTCCTTGGAATATATTCAGAGACTAATATCGTGAAACTTGCGCCGTAAATAGATATTACGAGTGAGGAGGCCCCTCTATGATAAACAATCACTTATTCGTATATATTGCAACCAAATATGTAATGGATATTATGTGTGTGTGCAATCTGTGTATATTACTGAATCGCAGGCTTTTAAATTATTTCATAAGCCTACTTGTTTAAAAAATGATATATACTTCAAACGCTTAACCACAGTGTAAAGTATGAAAAGCTATTAAAAACAACTATTTAAAGAAATCAGTCGAAAACTGAAAACAATGACACATTAACATGTGCAAATTACTCTGTGTCTCTTAAGATGCAATATTTAGTCTATATTATATAAGAGATCTCGATCAACATGTACACGTGGAGTTGTCTGAGTGACAGATATGGTCGTTGTTACATCCTGTTAAAAAATGAACAAATCTCCTCTTTTATGAATAGTTTTTAGATTTAGATGGATGATTTAGATTAAATAAAAACTTTAACTTCCAGGAAATTTTTGTAATTGCTAAAATACTCAATTCAAACTCATCAAAATGACGTTTGTGTAATTTGTTTGACCTCGTCACTCGCTACAGAGGTGCATTTTTGAAGCTACATGTAAAAAAAGCGTAGAGGCGGTGCAAAGTAAGAACAGCGTATAGAGAACAAAAAGCCCTGACGGGGAATACATCTTCAATCCGGAAGCCCCAGACACAGCGGCCTTTTTCTCGGCAGCAGCTCGAGCCACAGGGACGTTAGGATTTGGTTTTGCTGGATCGAAACTAAACTCCATGCAGGGTTCAGTGTCCGGTACCACGTGATATCCGCCATCCCAAATGGTGTTGCAGAAATCAGCAGCTGACGTGTACACCTCAGTATATTTCTTACACACCGCGTCCTTTGGGCACATGTTCATACCTGAAAAAGTAATAGGGAACGGACTATGGTTCCTAGTGAATTACTATTCCTGTCGCGCCAGGTCTTCATCATCTACTCTGTATACGTTCCCCATCTTAAACCCATAGCTATATGTACCGCATTGCTGTTAAGTTACATCGTCACAACAATGTGACGTCACTTACCATTTGCGTCCCAGGCAGGGTCAGTGAACCAGTTTCTGTGACACGTGTACTCCTCCTTGCAAGCGTTCCACCATTTGTCACATTGGCTGGCACACACAGGCAGTTGATTATAACGGTCACTATACGGGTATTCTTTCTAAAATGTTTTTCAAAAAATATGTAGTATTACTTATCTAGTATTATATTATAATCACCTCGGTCGATAACGCTTTTTTGTGAGGTCAGCCTAAAACAATATATTGACCTCGAGCCAAATTCGATAATTGTATTATACCTGTATCACAGGGCAGACCAGATAAATGAATATTCATTATCAGTTTACCGCCAGTTTTTAGTGTGTGTGTGTGTGTGTGTGTGTGTGTGCGTGCGTGTGTGTGTAAAAAGAGAGATAAAGAGATAGAGATAGAGAGCGGAATATTTGACCTACCCCTCTCACAATCCATGGGCCGGAGTTTGGCGAACAAGCAAAGAAGCACATTTCGTCATGGGTCAATCTTTCACACTCCGGTGACAGACGCGGTTTCTGTGGACAGTGACCATAATCCGTCATGTTCATCCACTGGTGGTCCTCTAGGAAACTTGTGGTCATGTTTGGCTTGCAGCAGGATCCGTCTCGGTAACGAATGCACTGAAATAATATGGGTACAGTGTGTTCATATATAAACATAGACATTGCCAGTCCAGAGGACCTGCCATGTTAATATGTGTGTGTGTGTCCTCTAGATCTGTTGGACAGGCAGTTGCCCTGTGTATGGAGGTGATTTTTATGATATATATGTATAAAATTGAATGCCAAGGGGTGCACAGGGCAAGAATTCCGATTCTTCATTGTCAAAATCTTGATCCACTACCATCAGGGATTTATATGCACATGTACAAAGAAAAAGAATCATAATGCTTAGAGTGTTTTAGGAAGTATTTTGAAGTATTCAATTTGTCCAATTGAATGTTCAATTTGTATACATACATAGTCTCGTTCAGTTACCCTAGATTCTAGCTTTCAGTATTGCCAGCTCGATCTAGATTTCATATATTGTATATAGTATAACCCATAGCAGCAATACTGACTGCAAATTTAGCTAGCACATGAAAAGGTATACTGAGCACGCTAGCTTTAAAATTTATGGGTTGATACAAAACTGGGTAGACATGATATTTCCATTCGAACAAGGATTATTTGAGGCAGTTTATTTGATTAACAGCCCAAATTCATGGTAAAATATAGCAGCCGCATACAGACGGCTGTACAGATCAGACGCAGGAAGTGGAGAAAGCTTATTGAACTTGCCCTGAGTGTCAGGGCCTTACAAGTCTTTAAAGCACTCTCCTGTCAAAAGACAATAGGTCGCGCCGTGCTTTATTTCGTGTAAAGTCACATCATCCACGAATGCGTTCCACGCACCAGTGCACAGGGTTAATTAATCGTACTTTAAACCAGATAAAGCACTCGGCGCTGAGCTTTACGAGAAATAGAGCAGATCTCGGCTTCGCCTCGCCAATTATCTGCTCTATTTCTCGTAAAGCTCAGCGCCTCGTACTTTAACTATACCTAAGTCTCATGGGAAGCAGACGGGGTAAGAGACCTTTTAACTTCAACATTCTGGATACACTTTAAATACCACCTCGATTTTACCTCCAGATCCGGTTCAGGCGACGGCCTTCCTTTGCTGTACTCATTTGGTAATCTAATACACATGTTCAAGTAATCTTCTGCTGACAGTCGTGCCTCTGCTTCCACGAACTGTCCAAGAACCAGGAAGGCGAGGCAGACGATACCAGTGAGCGTTGCCGCCATAATAGTAGACTATTGGGCGTGCGAATGTACAGGTGGTAAACAAATCATAACAAGAAGCACACCTGTTTGACCTTTTAAAAACAATAAGTTCACGAAAAGTTCATAAACGTATAGCGGGTGTCTCATTACGTACGTCACCACTGTGTTATACCATACGCGCTGTTCCTGCAACTTTTTGGTGAAGGTTTGGGATAACGGGCAGCTATCGGAGAATTAGAAGAAATAACCCCCACCGCCGTACACTCCGACTTCATAATATACACATTTAAAAATTATTAGTAAGTGTTAGTGTGTGTGAGTGTGGAGGTGGCTTCAATATTTTTTAATTAGAGGTACATCTGTGACATGTTTACGCTAAGGGATGTGGACAGTGATTTTAAGCCCACTGTTATGCATTCGCTTATTCTAGTAATTGTACTGATTGAAAGAAAAAGACAAGATGGCGGGGGTTGTGTTAAAGTTTTTCCCCACCCCTCTTCGAACTAAACATAATAGTATATGTTACTTTATATACTTAATCTGATAATTCACGCTTCAAACGTCGGATAATCATTTTCTCCCAGTATTTTCATGGTCACACATTAAAATAACGTATTTTTTACAACTTCCAACCGTTCCCTCCTTTCCTTCCTCCCCGTCCTCTCTCTCTCTCTCTCTCTCTTACCTCGAGCTCCGGTTCTGGTGATGGTCTTGTCTTGCTGAATTTTGTCGGCAAGAAAATGCATCTGTTCAAGTAATAATCCGCCGTCCTGGGCTTGTCCTCTTGCATCACAACTCCCCACGTCAGTATGACCAGGTGCAGGTAGATGACTAGGGAAAACGCCATGTTGGCTTAATGAGACCCTTAAACTGTACAAATTAAACCGCAAGTGGCCTTCTGAGGGTGTTTTCAATATTATATTTTTATGTGTGACACTGATGCTATTCTGGTGACCATTATTCTACATGCCCTGGTGCATCATGCATTCGACAGGTTAATGTGGCGATTGAGAAAGACTGTAAATTGTTTTAAAAAGGCAGAAAAAACAGGTTATAAATTAAATTTTTATATGTGTTTCGATATATTTTGTAGTGATTCAGTCTTGGTGAATTATACATGACGTAAGGATATTTTGAAATAAATATTTAACCTGTAACTCAAGGGGTTCCGGTCATGGCTACAGTGACGTATTGTAATGAGCCTTTACATACATATGGAATGAATGTCCTAAACTTATATAATTTTGTACGCTTAATTCAAGCTTGGGCTCGAAATAGGACATTACGTTTTAGACTTACTTAGTGGATAACACAATCTTAATATTCCACGGTTCGTCTCAGTTTTAAGTAAGATTGCGCAAAGGAAGCCCAAGTCCACATAATGACCAGCTAAACGTGTAGCGTCCAATATCTTAACAAACGCAGGTTGTCTGTTTGAGCCTTTATTGATCCACTACAATAAGATACGTTCTGAAATAATAATAAATAAAGATACTTAACATCTATACTTCATGATCCTTTTCAATATGACTTACTTATATAATGACTGAATGTCACTGTTATTAAATCAATTTCTTTTATAAGTGCATTACAAAGTTAAGAAGAAACAAATTAATTCCAAAATTAAATGATAACATACATAAACTAGCTACTCACTAGACTTGTCTAGCCTCGACTTGTGAAACATGACAAAATCTGCTGACACTGTAATAAATATAAAACAACTTAATGAAATTATGTAGCTAGCTGAGATAAACATACTCAATATCTAAGGAAAGAAAATAAACGTAAACTAACAGGCCTGACAAAGTTCGTTTGTTAACCACGCCTAATACATTCATGCATTATAACACGTGTTCTTAAAATGCCTTTACATTACTTGCAAATTTATATGCTAATTACGTAATGAGCTATAAAATAGGTCTAGTAACCAAGCAACATATATAAAATGAGTTTTAAGAAAGGACCGGGCAAATACATACTGTACTTATTTGTCTTTTTTCCTACTTTCTCTTCATACGTGCGAGTGTTGCGTCCTCCGTGAATCTGAACGTGTGCACCTCTCCCAACTTACGAATCTCTTTCTTCTAAAGATCATTTTCTCAACCAAATACATAGCAATTGCACCGAATGCAGTATGTGAGACTACATGGTAATTACTTTCCCTTAAACACGGGATATAGAATTCTAGCCACTACAAAACGATTTTATTATTCGACGCTCGGAAGCTACATATTCTAAGTGAAGTCTCCAACTCCTAGCTCTTCTAAACTACGTCTGCTCCGCACTCGATCCGTTGCTCCCAATGTCCTTCTCTCCTTCTCGTCCCCTCTCCCCTTCTCACTCCAATGTATCGCTTATATACTTATTTCTTATCCGAATTGAATCCAATAAAAACATTGTGAATAACTCATAGTATTATATATTCTGTTTTGCCACAAAAACGGCAGTTAGAGCTATTGATCTGATATCTGAACTTGTCTTTAGACAACGTGATCTCCACTGATGGCTATACTCTGTTAAAATCTCTTAAGAGATTTTAACAAAAAACCAAACTTTTTAGAAAAAAAACAGGGACTAACTCTGAATGTAAAAATGGATTCATTAAGCATTGGTTAGTATGGGAAAATTGTTGTTTACTCCAGGAAAATTCATTATTTGGCCGAAACGAAGAGTTATTATCCCTTTAATGTCTTTATATCGGCGTTACAGGGGCCGCCACATTACTCTATAACTATCGGACCACTCCACGTTGCATAATCTGACCTCATAAGATATCTTCATGTCGGATATAACAGTATGTTCCCCAGAAAAAAAAAATGTCAGAAAGTTTCATCTTGCCCAAGTACTTGTTGCAATTAGCAAGTGGAAACAGTGTTTTTTGTTGTTGGCTGAAAAAGATATTGTGATTCCATGACAGTTTAACGTTTCCGATACAATTTGGATGCTTTAATGCTTATTTGACTGTCGGTAGTGTGTATTTCCCCCTCTTTTTTTAACATTCAGATACCAGACAGCTGAAGTCGCTCAAAAATTAACTGCTCTATATAGAATATTATCATATTTTTTATAACATTATACTTGTAGGATATTAATTAAAGAACAAAATCAGTGATGATTTTTTATAGTGAGCAAAACTTTCCACAGCTTGACGTTTTGCATTTGTGACATTAACATGTTCCTTTTTCGGGTTAGACGATGATCTTTTTTATTATTTATGGTTCCAGGAGAGTGAAACTGCAAACTTCTTCATGTGGGTTTCTGATATAATCAAATATAGTTTGTAACCTCTGCACTAAATGTTTTAACAGCATGCTTGTGACCTCATTTGCACCTTTATATTGGATTTGGGTGAGATAAGATGAACATTAAGAACATCGTATAAAGAACAAAAACCCCTGACGGGGGATACATCTTCAATCCGGAAGTCCCAGACACAGCGGCTTTTTTTTCGGCGTCAGCTCGAGCCACAGGGATGTTCGGATTTGGTTTTGCTGGATCAAAACTAAACTCCAGGCAAGGCTCGGTGTCTGGTACCACGTGATAACCGCCATCCCATATGGTGTTGCAGAAATCAGCAGCTGACGTGTACACCTCAGTGTATTTCCTACATACCGCGTCCTTTGGGCAAATGTTCATACCTAAAAATAAATATTATGCACTATATTAATTTGAATCACAAGAGTTGCTATCTGCATAGACAAGATAAACCTGGTTTACAATTTCACTTTCTTCAAAAAGTCTGATTAAAAAAAAATAATAAGCATATGCGCTGAACATTCCAAAGGATAAGAAATTCTCCTGGATTTTCTACATTGCATCCCCCCCCCCCCTGTTTTTCGTTAACATCCAAACGAAACTTCATCTTTTACTTGGGATATGACGTCACTCACCATTAGCGTCCCAGGCAGGGTCAGTGAACCAGTTTCTGTGGCACGTGTATTCCTCCTTGCAAGCGTTCCACCATTTATTACATTGGCTGGAACACACCGGGCAGTCGATTAAATCGGTCACTGTACGGGTATTCTTTCTAAAATGATTATCAAAGATAAATGTCCAGGACCCCATTCCCAGAGATTAGATCGATCCAACTAGATCGACCTAACTCCCTCTGGGTTCACGCTAAATATCTGTAAGCCGAGCGGGCACGAAAGTTAATTACCCCCTTACAGCTTGTAGTAGGCGGGACGGACATTTAAGCCGGATTATCTGACAGTAATCTAGTGAGACTTCCCACGGGGATAGATCGATATAAAATATTTGGGAATGCGCCCTAGTATTACTAATCTATTATTGTAATGTGCCTCAGTCGATATTGCTTTTCTGAGGTCGGCAAAACAACATACTTACCTTGTAGAAAGTCGATAATTGTATAATATCACATGGGCAGACCAGATTTATAAACTATCATTATTAGATCACCAGCTGTTTTGTGTGTGTGTGTGTGTATGTGTGTGTGTGTGTGTGTGAGAGAGAGAAAGGGGCCTTCCAAAATTTGTCTCATTTATAACGCTCAATTACGGTTGTCAATCTGTCCTAGAACATGTTTTTCTCTTTTAATGATGTTCTTTATCTGTTCTAGAACATTCTGAAGGGCTTCCCAAAACATTTTTCGAACTGTTACATGCATTACAGAATAAAATCAGAACTATAAAAAATACGCCAGATTTTCTTCAAGAGATTGAGAACTGTTAGTGAACGTTAAATGAGGAAAATTTTCGCAAGGAGAGAGAGAGAGAGAGAGAGAGATGTAACATACCCCTCTCAGAATCCATGGACCCAAGTTTGGCGAACAAGCAAAGAAGCACATTTCTTCATGGGTCAATCTTTCACACTCCGGTGACAGACGCGGTTTCTGAGGACAGTGGGCATAATCAGTCATGTTCATCCACTGGTGGTCCTCTAGGAAACTTGTGGTCATATTTGGCCTACAGCAGGAATTGTCTCGGTAACGAATACACTGAAAAAATATGGGAACAGTATGTACATATATGAACATTAACCTTGCCTATCCAGAGGACTTGCGACATTAAAAATCTTTCAGGTGGAAGGCTAGGGTGTATGATCAAGTGGTCATAACTTGTTGGGCAGGAAGTTTCCCCATCCCTGGAAATGCTATATCTAATATATATGTGCTAGTAAAGCACTGAGTGTCAGGGGGTGAGCAGCACACCGTGCAACCAACTTCTTTACCCTTATTCTAAATAGGGACATAACTGGCTGAACGGGAGACAAAACGAGACACGAAATCATACCATTTTATATCCCTATCATACATCCTAGCCTTCCACTGTTAAACATACACATAAGTGTAAGGGTGCCGATTCTTCATTGTCAAAATCTTGGATCCACTACTACCAGTGTAACAAGTTTGTCACTGTAACCTAGCATCTTCATGATAATTAACTCACCACAGACATATAAAATCACGTTTTTTGCAACCTCTCTCTCTCTCTCTCTCTCTCACCTCGAGCTCTGGTTCTGGTGATGGTCTTGTCTTGCTGAATTTAGTTGGCAAGAAAATACATCTGTTCAAGTAATAGTCCGCCGTTCTGAGCTTGTCATCTTGCATCGCAATTCCCCAACGTCATCACAGCCAGGTAGATGCAGATGTCTAGGGAAAACGCCATGATAGCTTAATGGGATCCTTAAGCTGTACAAATCAAGACTGTCTGTTTTTTAAATGATATATTTTCATGTACAAGGGTAACACTGTTTGCTATTCTGGTAAGGATTAAGCTAAATGCCCTGTTGCATAATACATAGGAGAGGTTAATGTAGGGATCGAGAAGGGGTGAAAATTGTTTTGAAAAGGCAGAAAAACAGGTTTACCTACATGTATATATTAAGCACCCTGTATGCCCCATCTAAAGTGCATATAGTGCATGTATATAGCTACATGTATCTATCAGTGGGTAGCCCTTCGTGATTTCTTAAAAATCACACTCCCGTCTTGATGTACTTTATTTGCAAGAAATGTCTTTTACAAGAATTCTCTTTCTCACAATCGTGAGCTATTGATTCTTGACTCACCTCTGATTAGAATTAGTTTCCGTAGGTTTTGAACAAATTTTAATATAAGCAATTTTACTTCATTTTATGTTTCCTGATGATCGCTGCACCTGATATACTTTTGCATCCAGATGGAAAAATCATATCGTTAAAATTGTATATCATTGTAACGGGTTTCTGATAAAAGAACCAACAGTAATAATACGTCTTCGACTGCCCTCGATAGACAACTGGTGTCGCCTGCATGATATTTTTACGTCTAAAATGCCCGCTCTACTGCTTCGATTTTCCTAGAATTTTTATGACCATAGGGACCATATAAAGACTAAGTAATCCTAATATTTTTTTTGTATTTTTTCTTTTGTCAGTTTAATTTTGGCAGGCCCCATGGTTTCAATCACGTCATTTAAGACTTAAACGCAGATTTTACGGCCATATTGTAACAATAACACCAGAGAGCACCGCACAATAAATTGCGAACAATTAGGACGATCATCATCCTTGTCTCTCGCTGAATGAATAAATATGTCATTCAGAAACTCTTAAAAATAAAAACAAAGTGTGATTTTTTTTAAATTTCGAAATATGCTGTGATGTGCATCAACGCCTTATAGCTCAAACAGTGTAGAAATGGCGCAACTTTAGAAAAGCGCATATCAAACTGATATCATTGACTTGTGAGCCATCTTCAACCCGGAAGCCTCAGACACATCGGTTCTTTCCTTGGCAGCACTCGAGCTGCGGGGATGTTCGGATTTGGTTTTGATGGATCGAAACTAAACTCCATGCAAGGCTCGGTGTCGGATGCCAAACATAACTCAACGGCATATGACAATGTCATTATTGAAAGGTGATTTAATTTTTACGCTAAAAACACACAAATTTGAGTGCAGGAGAAATAAGGCGATAAAATTATGGTGTACAGGTATGTACGAATATCTTGCAATTAAAGATGTAATAAACCAGCATTACATGCGTTATACGACTACATTTTCTTTTAATGATTTTACAAATTCAAATAAAAAATCCTATTTAGATTAACTTACATATCCAAACGCTGACATGCATAAAATGTTAAAGCACAATATATAGAGTGAAACCTTCAAAATAAACGTCCACTGACATGAAACAGTCGGAAATAGATCAACAAAAGGAACATGGAAATATAACTTTTGGGCCACGTTAGATGCGTTACTCTCAGCTACAATCGTAACAGTCCGAGTGACAGAGGTGATTTTCGTTAACAAATATTCTGTGAAAACAGAAATGAAACAATAAGCAAATTGTTCCCTTTCGACCATTGGTTGTTGTCATAGTAAAATTAACCTGCAGATATACGCTTTTCAACTACAAAAGTTTAATTTCAATGTTCATTGATTAAATATGTCATTCAAAAACTCATAAAATAAAGATTAAAGCGAAAAAGACTTTTAAATCCAAAAATGCTATATAATACAGGTAGACACACTGTACAACTAAAACAGTGGAGGGGCAGTGTACAGTAAGAACAGCGTAAAGAGAACAAAAAGCCCTGACGGGAGATACATCTTGAGTCCGGAAGTCCCAGACACAGCTGCCTTTTTCTCGGCAGCGGCTCGAGACACAGGGATGTTCGGATTTGGTTTTGCTGGATCGAAACTAAACTCCATGCAGGATTCGGTGTCTGGTACCACGTGATATCCGCCATCCCATATGGTGTTGCAGAAATCAGCAGCTGACGTGTACATCTCAGTGTATTTCCTACACACCGCGTCCTTTGGGCAAATGTTCATACCTGAAAAGCAACATCATGAAATAAAATATTTTTGAAGACAAGGTTTGTTATTTGAATAGGCTAGGGTAACTTGGGCCACCATTTTACACAATACGAAAATAACGTGTAAGACAGCGTTATAAAGGGGAGGGCTTAATCGTACCAGTTTTGATTTGCCTTGGTAATCATTACAAGTTAATTCACGCGAATTCGAACATTTTAACATCTACCATTTTCATGTTAAAAGTTCTGCCCGAGAATTGAAAAAAAAACAAAAACAAAAAAAAAAAAAAACAAAAAAAAAAAAAACAATATAGCTTCGGTGTTGATATCTTAAGCGGCAAAAGAACTGTAAATGTAATGAGCTTTACAGCGTGTGCGAAAGGAATAATTAAACCCAATTTTAAGCCAATTTACTAGGAAGCATTATCATTTGGTAGTTGGTTGCCATTTTGGTTTTATCAAATTGCATCAATATCATTACAACAAATGTTAAGTAATATTTCGTCTTCAGCCTGAAGTATAAATGGTCTATTTATTTTTACAATTTACATTCAACTAATTTTTTGTCTTATGCTGATAATATCAGTGATGTGTTCTCTACCTCTTACAAGCGTTAACATGCGTCACGTTGGCGCCACGTGGCTACATACATAAACCGCGTTGCTGCCATGTTTTAACGTCGCAACAGCGTGGAAATTAAGCCACGGGACCCCAACGTAGCGTGTTGGTTTGGAAAAGACGTCGCTCACCATTAGCGTCCCAGGCAGGGTCGGTTAACCAGTTTCTGTGACACGTGTATTCCTCCTTGCAAGCGTTCCACCATTTGTCACACTGGCTGGCACACAATGGGAGATTCTTCAAACGGTGACTATACGGGTATCCGTTCTGAAATGGATATTAAAAAAAAAATCTAGCAATAAGTGATGGGGGTAGACAAATGGATGTGAGCATGTGTGCTCGTCTGTGTCAGAGAGAGGAAGAGAAAGAGAGAAAGAGGGAGAATACCTGTATGTATGTGTTTGTGCCTGAATATTGAAATAGACAAGATAGATAGATTGATCATGTAGATAGCAATATACAGTGTGTGTGTGTGAGTGTGTGCGCGCGTGCTTGACCTACCCCTATCACAATCCATGGCCCGGAGTGGGGTGAACAAGCATAAAAGCACACTTCATCATGGTTCAATCTTTCACACTCCGGTGACAGACGCGGTTTCTGTGGACAGTGACCATAATCCGTCATGTTCATCCACTGATGGTCTTCTAGGAAACTTGTGGTCATATTTGGCCTGCAGCAGGAACTGTCTCGGTAACGAGTGCACTGCAACAATATGCAGATGCAATATTAAAGGGATAACAACTCTTCGTGTGAAATCTATATTGCACAATAAATACATTGTAAACAATTCATAGAAATATATATATATTCTATTTTACCGCAAAAACGGCAGTTATAGCAATCATTCTTAAATATGTGTTTGCAATCAGTCCATGTGACTTCCATTGATGACTATACTTCTTAATAATCTCTTAAGAAACCATTACAAATTATACCAATTTTTTAGAAAAAAAAACAGGGACTTACTTTAAAATGGATCCCTTAACCATTGGCAAGTATGGAAAAATTACTGTTTACCCCAGGAAAATTCATTTTTGGCCATAATGAACAGTTGTTATCCTTTTAACTAGACCGGACATTTATTGCAATGGTGGATACGGAATTTTTTGTGCTTTTTCTTGTTTCCCTTTTTTCCATCCCTATGCCCGATACGTCAATTCCCCATGGCCGCCTTACACTGTTTAATAAAGGGTTTGAGGGTGTTGTCCCTATTGGGAAAATATATTGTCCACAAGCAAATGAACAATAGCCTAATTTTTTTTCATTTTGTTTAGCCAGTAAAAAACCGGTTTGAATTATGCACATTAATGCTTGTCCGCAAAGTTACCGAAAAAAATAGCGAAAAATGACCCTCCTGTAGCCTCATCTAACAGTAGATCAACTGTCAGTGGTCCGACAGCGTCTTAGACTGTGTTCCCATACCTGGATCGATCGAACAGGATCAATCCATCTGTGAGGTGTTTCTCGCTTAATTGCTTTCAGCTTAAGCAGCTTAGATGTCTGACACGCCTACTGAAGCTGCTAAACGATAATTAATTACCCCCTAGCAGCTTCAGTACGGAATTAAAGCGCTTAAGTTGTTTGCAATTTCGCGAAAATCTCCTTGGAGATAGATCGATCCACAGTTAGTACGATAGGGTCTGGGCATGGCCCTTAAGATTTAGTCTCGCTCAGATATATCATTTCTGCTGAGATCGCGCTAAGAATTAAAAAAAAAAACTCAGATGATCCGTTTTGGCATAAATACAATATACAATGACTATCCAGTGGAAGTACAGTATGCAAACACTACACAGCTTTGTGTTTACAATGAACTCGGGTACAGTGTATTGTGCTTTTTACCTTTGTGTTTTTAGTGTAGTTATAGCATTGTTAACCGTTTTGGCGGTCTACGTTGTTTGTAATTGGGGGGCACCGATCAAACACTTGCGTGTTCATATATCCGAGAAGTTATAGAATTGCCGCTATACGGGGTAAACTGTGGTCCACCAAAGGTTGGGACATGTCAAAAATATGAATAGTTGCACGTCATCAAAACATCTATATTGTAGATTATACGCAATTAAAACGAACCAAATACATCTGAAAAGTTATCGATATGCCGCTATACTTCATGGACGGGGAAACTGTACCCCCTGGACCGCCAAAGGTTGGGAAATGTCAAAAATATAAATAGCTGTACGTCATCAAAACATCTGTATTGTAGATAATACTCAATTAAAACGAATCAAAGATATGTAATTACACAAAATGCACTGATAACCATTCAAATGAGAGGTGAATGTGGTTGCCCAGGGCCTAATAAATAACATTCTCTCTCTCTCTCTACTCTCTCTCTCTGTGATTTTTACCTCCAGACCCGGTTCAGGCGACGGCCTTGACTTGCTATACTCGTTTGGTACGCTAATACACATGTTCAAGTAATCGTCTGCTGACATGCGTATGTCTGCTTTAACCACCATCCCCAGATTCAGGAAGGCGAAGCAGAGGATTTTAGTCAGTGTTACCGCCATGGTGGTTGACCTCGAATGTGCAAACAAAGTAAACAAATCGTAACAAATAAACACACCTGTTTAACGTGACACAAGCCAACAGTTAGTAAAGCTTAAAGGGATAATAACTCTTCGTTTTGGCCAAAAAATGAATTTTCCTGGAGTAAACAACAATTTTTCCATACTTACCAATGGTTAATTTCAATTCAATTTCAATTTCAATTTATTTCTGTACTGGTACATAGATTGTCATGACCTTGTACAATTTGATATACTAATGATGATACAATACAGTTAGTGCATTACCATCTTTATATAATGGACATACGTATCAGTAAAATTACTCATAAAATATTCTATCTAAGCAATGCGATAAACCTTGGTGTGATTTTAAATTTACCATAAACATACTATAAACATGTTACACAAAAAGAATATGTTTAAACTTAAAACCAAGGTTACATAGCTGTTTAAGGCCAGTTTGATGACATGGATAATTACGACTAATGACAATTACATAAGATAGATAAGTAAATAAGTGACACAGATATAAATATTGTGCCATGTTCAGTCCCACTGCCGAGTCACTTCTCACAACAGTGGGACCATACACTGACATTTTAAGGGATATGCTAATGAATCCATTTTTACATTCAAAGTTAGTCCCTGTTTTTTTTCTAAAAAGTTTTTTTTTTGTTAAAATCTCTTAAGAGATTATAACAGAGTATATATGGCCATCAATGGAGGTCACGTGGTTTGAAGACATGCTCACATATCAGAATAATAGCTATAACTGCCGTTTTTCTTGTACATCAAATATATTATATTTCTATGAGTTGTTCACAATGTTTTTATTGTGTAATATAGACCTCATACGAAGAGTTATTAACCCTTTAAAACTTGTTTGACATGTTAATACGTCATACGTGTAATATGAAACTTCTAGTATTGTGTTATTCAATACATACCTTTTTCGATATACTGGTATGGTGGTTGTATTATGCATATTGTATATAGCGAACAGTAATTGGGGAGTTGAAAAATTTGACACACGTGCATACACATACATACAATGTACATCCTTTTTTTAGTCTTTCAAAAAATGATAATTTCCTTAGAGGAAATGGAAACATATCATCCCAGGTTTAACATATTTTTCTAATTTTTTTGTACCAGCACTGTAGTTGAAAATACAGATAAAAGTTTCAAAGGTATGTCTAGGTAGAAATATATTACTTATCAACAAATGTGTATTTCATCTAAAATAAGAGATTAGAAAAATGTGTAATCAGGTGTGTCAGTGACATTTAACTGACTGGAGATTTCAGTGAATTACAGAATAGATGACAAGATGACGTCATCCTGCTCGGTGGCAGCTACGTAACAGGTTGCGAAAGTTAACAAATTGTGATTTTTTATAATTAAAATTCTTTATGGCACATCATTGTATTCGGGTGGCATTAAAATTGTTTATCATTCTAACTCGTTATTAGGTAAAAGAACCAACAGTAATAATACCTGCACGACTGCCTTATGTGAACAACTGGTGTCGTCCGCATGATATTTTTTGTCTAAAATGCCCACTGTATACAGTATACTGACTCGATTTTTCTAGATTTTTGTTCTTGACCGTAAGAACCACATTTAGACTAAATAGACCTACTGCTTTGTAATTTTTCTTTTGTCGGTTTATTTTTGGCAGATTTTAAGTCCAGATTTTAAGTCCATATTTTACCAATATCACCAGAGATCACTGCACAATGAATTGCGAACCAACTGGACGATCATCATCCTTGTCTCTCGCTGAACAAATACTATGTCATCCAGAAACTCTAAATCTCGAGATATGCAGTACTGTGCATCCACACTTTACAGCTCAAACAATGCAGTAGTGACGCATCATAAGAATTGCGCATATCAAACTAAAATCATTGACGTGTGATTCATCTTTAATCCGGAATCCTCAGACACAGCAGCCTGTTTCTCGGCAGCTCTCGAGCAACGGGGATATTTGGATTTGGTTTTGCTGGGTCGAAACTAAACTCCATGCAAGGCTTAGTGTCAGATGCCAAAACATAAGTCAATGACATGAATATGTCAGTATTAATATTAATTGGCGCCCGCAGAACATTTTCCAGGGGGGGGGGGGGGGGGGCAGTCATAGAAGGGGGACGCCCATGTTAATATTGTAGACGATTTAGTTCTTACACTAAAAATACACCAACGCTACAAATTTGAGTACAGGAGAAATAAGGCGATAAAATCACCGTGTATGTCCGAATATCTTGCAATTTAAGATGTAATATACTGGTATTACAAGCGTTATACGAGTACGTTTTTTAATTGATAAGCAGAAGATAATTTTACAAATTCTAAGAAAAAAAGATCTTCTTCACATTTCATATTGATGAAGAAACATTGACCTGCAAAAAAAAAAATAATAATAATAGTAAAATAAAATAAAATAAAATAAAATAAGATAAAATAAAATAAATAAAATAAAAATGCTAAAGCACAATGTATAAAGCGAAACCTTCAAAATAAACGTCTACTTACATGAAACAGTCGGAAATACCCTGTAGATCAACAAAAGGAACATTGAAATATGCACTTTCGAGTCACATTAGATGCGTTACTCAGAGCTATCGGCTACAATATAAGAAGTCTGTGTGGCAGAGATGATAATTCTTATCAAATATTCCGTGAAAATGGAAATGAAACAATGAACAAATTGTCCACATCCAACCGTAGGTTGTCGTCAAAGTTGAAGGACCTCCACATGTACCTTTTTGAATTACAAAAGTTTAATTTCCTGGTTAATTGATTTAATATGTCATTCGGAAACTCATAAAATAAATATTAAAGCGGAAAAGGCTTTTAAATCCAAAAATGCTATACAATACCGGTAGATACACTGTACAACTAAAACAGTTTAAGGGCGGTGCAAAATAAGAACAGCGTAAAGAGAACAAAAACCCCTGACGGGGGATACATCTTCAATCCGGACGCCTCAGACACAGCGGCCTTTTTCTCGGCAGCGGCTCGAGCCACGGGGATGTTCGGATTTGGTTTTGTTGGATCGAAACTAAACTCCATGCAAGGCTCGGTGTCCGGTACCACGTGATATCCGCCATCCCAAATGGTGTTGCAGAAATCAGCAGCTGATGTGTACATCTCAGTGTATTTCTTACACACCGCGTCCTTTGGGCAAATGTTCACACCTAAAATGAAATATCATGAAATAAAATATCTTAGAAGACAAGGTTTGTTTTTTAATAGGCTAGGGTGACTTGGACAACCATTAGGCCCTATACACAATACAAGAATAATAGCTGGTTTGACAGCGCTACATACAATGTATAAAAGAGAGGGCTAAATTGTACCAGTTCTTCATTTGGATCTTACTTATAATAGAGTCAAACAATTTTAGTAAGAGTGTACCTTTACATTCAGAGTAATTTTAGGTGAAAATGATTTTTATCTGCCTGATGAGTGTCATTTTTTATTTATGAAATGGTCCTAAACAACTGCCTATGGTAAATAAAACCCTATCAAAATGTCTGTTTTGTAAAGAGAAGCATATGTAGTGACATGACCCACCGCTACAGGTCTGCTGCTCGGGAGTGTATAAATTGGAATGGCACCGCAGATTGGAGTCCATCTTGTGAAAATAACGATTGCCTTGATTATGAAGACAAGTTAATACACGATGTTTAAACATTTTAACATGTGCCATTTTCAGATGGCATCAATATCATTACATGTATAAATAGTAAAGAAGTATATAAAGACAAATGTAAAGTGTTTTTGTGCCGAAATAGAAGCACGAGGCAAATTTATATTTGGTCTTCAGCCTGGACTATAAATGGTCTATTTATATTTACAATTTCAACCAGATCGGTCTTTGCTGATGATACAGTGATGTGTTTTCTACCTATAACAAAGCGTTCGTGTCACGTTGGCACCACGTGACTGCATACACATGCCGCGATGCTGCCACTGGGCTTCAGCGTAGCATGTTGGTTTGGAAATGACGTCACTCACCGTTAGCGTCCCAGGCAGGGTCGGTTAACCAGTTTCTGTGACACGTGTATTCCTCCTTGCAAGCGTTCCACCATTTGTCACACTGGCTGGCGCACAATGGGAGATGCTTCAAACGGTGATTAAACGGGCTTTCGGTCTGAAATGGTCATTTTTATTAGACAATCTAGCAATAAGTCATGTGGGCAGACAAATGGATGCGTGCATGTGTGTTCGTCTGTGTGTCAGAGAGAGAGAGAGAGAGAGAGAGAGAGAGAGAGAGAGAGAGAGAGAGAGAGAGAGAGAGAGAGCACCTGTGCGTATGTGAAAATAGAAAAAATGGTCTAATGGATATATATGGATCATGTAGATAGAAATACACAGCTTTTGTGTGTCTGTGTACTTGTATTTGACCTACCCCTATCACAATCCAAGGGCCGGAGTTTGGCGAACAAGCAAAGAAGCATACTTCGTCGTGGTTCAATCTTTCACACTCCGGTGACAGACGCGGTTTCTGTGGACAGTGACCATAATCCGTCATGTTCATCCACCGGTGGTCTTCTAGGAAACTCGTGGTCATATTTGGCCTGCAGCAGGAACTGTCTCGGTAACGAGTGCACTGCAACAATATGCAGATGCAATATAAATACATACACAATAAATACATTGTAAACAATTAATAGAAATATATATTTTCTATTTTACCACAAAAACGGCAGTTATAGCAATCATTCTTAAATCTGTGTTTGCAATCAGACCATGTGACTTCCATTGATGACTTTACTTCTTAATAATCTCTTAAGAGACCATTACAAATTATACCAATTTTTTTAGAAAAAAAAAACAATGAATGCACTGAAACAATATGGGGATACAATATTAACAAAACTGGACATTCACTGGAATGGTGGATATGGAGATTTTTTGGCATTTTCTTGTTTCCCCTCTGCAAATAAAGGTAAAAGTATAAATGACAAATCGAAAGACAACACAAAACGATTTTCCATTCTTATGTCCGATACATCAAAGTTGCATAGCCACCTTTCACTGTTTATTAGAGGTTAAGGGTGTTGACCCTATTAGCAAAATATATTGTCAATAAGTGAATGAGCAAGAGCCTAATATTTCATTATGCTTAGCCATTAATAGACCGGTTTGAAACATGCACATTATGCTTGCCGTGCCCCTGCAGAGTAATATTACTCATATGACTCTCCTGTAGCCCCATCTAAGATGCTTATGACCAAAGACAAATGACTAAATCTTAAGGCGGTCAGTGTCAGTGGTCCGACAACGCCTTAAGATTTAGTCTCGCTCAATTTTTTTTCAGATCTGCTGCAATCGTCCTTAGAGTCAAATAAACTCAGATAGTGAGCTTGCACGAAGATACCATAACTGTCCAGAGGACGAACAGCATGCACGCATTACAAAGCTTTGCATTGGCGTTGAACTCAGGTACGGTACATTGGACCTTTTTTACCCTAGTGTAAATGTTACATTGATGGAAGTTTTGAAGGTCTACTTAGGTAAAATTTCTTACAGGTACATACCAGCAAACACGTCACGTTCGGATCAAGTGTCTAACTTGCTCCTACCACATTAGAACGTGATCTGAACGTCACGTGCTTGCTGGGATTAACTGGGCAATTTTCGTTATACCGCCATATATCAGAGCTAGGTAACTGTGTTCTTTTGGTCCACCAGTGGTTGGGAAATGTAAAGAAAAAAGAAAAAAAAACTATATAAATATAGTTACATCATCCAAAGCATCTACATTCTAGATTATACGCATTTGAAACCAATCAATATATGCAATTATACGAAATACACTGATAAGCATTCAATTGGGAGGTGACAGCCTTCAATACTGTGGTTACCCAAGGCTTTCTCTATTTTTTTGTGTGTGTGCTTTTTACCTCTAGATCAGGTTCAGGCGACGGCCTTGACTTGCTATACTCGTTTGGTACACTAATACACATGTTCAAGTAATCGTCTGCTGACAGTCGTGTGTCTGCTTTTACCACCAGCCTCAGATTCAGGAAGGCGAAGCAGAGAATTTTAGCCAGTGTTGACGCCATGACTGTTTATCTCGAATGTGCGAACAAAGCGAAAAATAGTAACAAAAAACACACCTGTTTAACATGGCAAAAGCCAACAGTTCATTAAACCTAAAACTTGTTCGACGGGTTAATACGTAATACTTGTAAAAATGAAAACTTGTAGTATTGTGTTATTCAATACATACTTTTTTTCGATATACTGGTATGGTGGTTGTATTATGCATATTATATTTAACGAACAGTCATTGGGGGATGGGAAGATTTGACACAAGTGTATACACACAGGAATCTACAATGCACATTATTTTATTTGAGTCATTGAAAAAAATATAATTTCCTTAAAGGAAATGAAAACGTATTCTCCCAGGTCTAACATAATTTTCTCATTTGATTGCACCAGAACTGTAGCTGAAAATACAGACTTATTTATCACGGAATATTTAATTTCAAATGTAGGTCTAGGTAAAATTATATCATTTATTACCAAAACGCGCATTGTGGATTATAAGGTTCACTGAGAATAAAATCGGAGTCTCCACACTTGGAGTCCAGCATGGTGCCTAAAATAACTCCCAATTGGAGTCAAGTTGACTCCAGACCCCACAGGAGGGGTCCATTTACACATCCCATGACCCCATAATAAGGAATTTTGATATAAATTAATTAACAACCCTTTTTACCTAGTCTGTATGCTGAAAATAAAATCTGGCTCAGGTCACGACACGAAAAAGGACGAAAAATCAGACCGACCGTGACATTATTATTTATGTGTCTTCTCCGAAAGGAACAGAAAACACTGAAAATGACACGACACATGTACAATTTACAATTTAATTGACGAATGTCTATTATTTTTGTATGGACTCCATGTTTCTAACCAACATCCGGAAATAGACACAAAATCGTTGAACCAGCATAAAATCAGAAATTGTGTTCACAAGTTTTTACAAACACCTATGAAATAACTATACTGTATTTTTGCACAGCTTTAGCATTTCATGCGACCTTCTGAACAAGCAGTCGGCAGAAAATACGTAAGTTTAACTTTTGTTTTATCACAATACGCGTGACCATTCATAACAAGATTAACCATAAATATTCGTAGCAGGATTTACAGTTAGAGTAGTGGTATATTACCTCAATGCTTTTGCTTTGCATGTGAAATACAGGTTTTTAATTAACCGAACCCCTTTCAAAGCGTCCTTGGATTGTATAATGTGATTACTGTAAGACCTGTGCCATATTGGATTTAAATCAATTTTGATAAGTGTTTTGTTTTTCTTTGAAAGATAATCAGTAGGGGAATAGAAAAAGATGGACCTGTGTCATGTGCCTGAAGATATCAAGACAAGTCAGTTTTGGCAACAATTGCAGGAAGGACTGAGTCACTTCAACCTGCCGGAAACTGAGGACAGAACTCGGGTAAAGTTATGAAATGAAATACTTTTAAAATAAAAATTCATACATTAGAAGTTATTATACCGCTAAATATAGAATTATAGTGACATTTGTTATTTTTAAACTATATCCCATTCAGAAACAGCTTCATCCAGCATTTGAATACAATGTTAGAAGGAACCGCTACCAATGATGTCGCTCACCCTCGATTGCCCAGTTCATATCAGTAAACCGGTTCCTGGGACAAGTGCACTCCCCTTTGCAGGCATTTAAACAATCCAAGCAATTTAAATAAAACGACAATGGTACTGTACTTTGACCTTATAATCTTTAGGCCCAGGGCACGCACCACACTGGGAGACAGATGATGTTAAAAAGCCTGCAAATGACACACACGGCAGAGTCGTAGAGAAACATGAAAGTGTATGGTCTTACTCGGTTCGGTCACAGTGCCTGTACCAATGTGCGTGCTATTGTTTTCCTTTAAGTGTGCATAGCCTGCAATTTAAATGGTTCTTCCTGTGTCTAAATATGTGTGAAGACAAGCTTTATATTGCATTAATTTAGTTTTGAATTGTCAGACACGTCTTCACCTTACAAAAACTGGAAAGTCGAATAAATTGTACACACAACAAGTTTAATGCAGAAAAATATATTATGGCGGATACAGAAATTCAAGAAGGGGCTTTTTTTTTCAGATGCATGGTTCTTTTCACATATTAGCATCCCACGTATTTGCTCATTTCAAATTTGCCTTCAGCACCAAAAACGGTAGGGAATGTTAACAAAATGTGTGCTCTTTGCAACTCCGTGTGGAAGGAATGGCAGACCTTAGTGAGAAGTCTGGGGTCCCGTATGATAATTACAGGTTGGGGTTAGTCGCAAATTTGGGTTAGAATATGGGACAAATGTCAGCTGCACACACTGATGGGGAAAGTTACGGTTCCTAGTGGACTACCATTCCTGTCACACCGGCCGCTCTGATATTAGAATTAGATTTTACGACGGTTGAGTTGAGTACTTACGAAGTTACACTTACCGATCAATACATGTTTATTTTCTTTTATCAAAACTGCGTGTTCGTTTATTTTAATTCAGCAAAAAGACGCCACAACATAACATCAAAAGCACAGGATGAACTTTTTAAACTGCAAAAGGTTTTCGAACTATCAACCAAGTTAACCCCGACCCTCACGCAAGCTGGTACATACAACATGACTCAAATTTGAGATGCGTTGACATTATTTTTGTTGTCATTCCTTGGCATCCCTGTTTTACGCCTACCACCTCATACCACATCTCCAGCGAGTACGACGATCAATCTTCATGTCAGTCCTATTCACCCACTGACAGGTCAAGTCGTCGAGGCCTCTTTGAGTCAAGCAAATTCACTCGTTTCCCTCGGGGAAGATAGCGCGATGAAGACTCAGTTATATATGACTCAACAATTCCTATAAGCACGCGATTACAATGTCGACACTTATTCGTTATTTCTTCACAAAGTATAAATTACGTGCGCACAATAGAGCGGTGAGAAACGTTAACTGAGCTGAAATCCTTTGGAGTAAAATAAGGTGAGTGCGCTTCGTTGCGCAAAAATATCAATATACCTGTATATTATTTTTATTTTTTAGAAAATATCAAACAAAAAGGTACATTTACTTGGGCGACTGTTTCTATAGCAATACAACCGCGAGAAGTCTGTTCAAAACGGAACTACCAGGGGAATTATAATACAATTTAAAAGTATTAACTAAAGCCTCGGTCACAACCGGACGCACGTGCACGACTTTCATGATCGTATGTCCCCTGCGGTTTTTGGGTATTGCGGGGGCCGTGGAGTTCGTTGAGGTAGAGGAAAGCCTGCCTTGCGAGTAGCAAAAGCCACATGAGATGTCCTTTTAAGCAGGGACGCTAATTGCAAGGAGCGATGGCCGTGGAAATTGTAATCATTTCTTGAGTTTGTCTTGCTTCCTGTGTACGTGGAACACACTCACCAATTACGAAGGGAATGCAACGCACGGCGAAGGTAGTGCTATTTTCCATCAGTTTTGCTTTACACTTGCCTCACGCGTTTGTGGTGACGTACTGACGGCGTACTTCAGTTTTGCATCCTGTTCTCCTCTTCTTATTTCTTCATTTTCCCTTTTTTCTACTATGTAAGCTTCTTTCTCTTGCCTTTTAAAGGCATATTAGAAAATAAATCGAGCAAAAATTTGAAAACTTTGAAAATTGTTGTACACGTAACAAAGTCGACGTTCATTGTAAAGACACGAGCGTGCGTCATGAGCAAGCCTTTTATACACCAGGCGTCGGGGTGACGCACGTGCGATGCATTTCCGGTGTGTTCTCGACTTTGTTCGTTAAGCCTAGGTCCCAACTACGTTTTGGAAGCACGGTTTTTAGGTTCCTTGCCTCCGGCTAGGACGTGTCTAGAGCTCTGTTGATCATGTCGAAAAGTTTTATACGTGCTGTTTGCGTCCTCCAAAAGTAGCACGATGGACGTGCTCCTCAAGCACGAACCCCTTCCCGATTTCTTCCCTGCGATCTAGCTACGTTCTAGCCGGACGCAAGGAACCTTAAAACCGTGCGTCCAAAACGTAGTTGGGACCTAGGCTTTAGTTGTGAGGACCTGCGCCTTACTCAACACGCAAAGGGCACTTGCTTCTTCATTGCTTGCGACGTGCGTCTTGCACAGCGCGGGTCTCTCCTGCCAACTCCGTGCAAGAGGAGCAAGTTACGCCTGCGGTCTCGCTGTTCGCAGGCTATTCGTAGAATCTTTTGGACATGTCCAACATCCTCCGTACATGCTTACGGGCTGTCTGCGAACGCGATATTTCGTAAGAAGGACTTGCGTGGGACGTAAGATTCTGCGTAAATTTTGGACGCAAACAGCCCGTAACAGCCCGTACGGCCGGTTGTGCCCTAGGCTTTAATCGGAAAGTAAAATAAACAGCTTTACATGCAAGGGATGAAAAAATAAACCATTTCAATGATGTTTCAAAAACATCACCTATATCAAGTATGACACATGTAAATCAAGCAAAGTGTAAAATATATCTTGGCTCTCAGAGTGTGTGTGGTTAGCGGAGCAAAGCGCTTTTTTCTTAATCTTGGATTGCAATTATTTTTAGAGGTGTTTTTTTTTCTTTTTGCAAGAAATCAGTTGGAAAATAGAAAAAGATGGACCAGTGTGACGTGCCCGAAAATATCATGACAAGTCAGTTTTGGCAACAGTTGCAGAAAGGACTGAGTCACTTAAACTTGCCGAAAACTGAGGACAGAACTCGGGTAAAGCTATAAAAGGAGATATTATTATTTGTACACATTATTCGTGTAGATGGACAGACAGATGTAAAAAAACAACAACAATAAATCAATTCTATAAATGATTGAAATGCCACGTACAAGGTCCTGCATGCCACGATTGGTAACATACCTGTAAGAACAATTCTAAAAACATAACAAAATGCATATTACAAACTATGGGTCCTTTAAATGCCTTATTAGGGCGTTTTGCCTGCCATTTTGAAAAATCGTCATTTTACCAACATAGATGGCTGTTGTAAAAAAATTACTTTTACATGTATGTTTAGCATCATTTGCCGTCATATAAAACACTATCAAAAACCCCAACTCTATTCAATACAGGTATATACATGCATATAGTTACATATACTAATCTATATGTAGTACACATGCTTGTATGCGTTTCCAAAATAGTAAAATTGCCGACGTAAAGAATGGTCATAGCTCAAATTTCTCATCAGAAATGAACTTTTTCGCCCATTTTATCTCTTGAATCAGCTGTTCCTCAGGAGATATAAAAAAGTTGAAACTTACCCTACCATACTGTTAAATTCATTTGTCAGACACGTCGTCTTCAGGCACAGGCAATTCCAATGTGTTGTGTGCCCTGGTGCATTTGTTCATTTTACCTCCGAAAATTGAGAGCGAATCCAGCGAGTACATGCACCCATTTTGCTGCCACTCCTATGTAAGTGCAAAATTGAGATACCTACCAATTTATTTCATATGATTTGTATTCAGAATCCGCGTCCTAATCTCACGGTTGAAGAAATCACGATGGTGGTACTGGGAGAACCTCTGACCTGTCTGAACCTGTGTTTAGAGGGTGGGAAGCAGTGTCCTGGTGGTATGTTACTGGTACCCTCTTTAACATGGCTTCAGAAAGAATCCGCCAATGAAGGAGATCTGCAAACCTTACGAGTATACACGGCTGTCACATTTGACTCTTGTGGTAGGACATTTTTGGACACCTTCACCCCACCTCGCCGTATCACTTACTGGATGAACATCCGCACACATACAGGTAATACATATACCAGTAATATCATGATGTTTCAATTTTATTTCATTTCATTATCCAATTGGCACCTATAGTTATATACGCATGAATGGACTAGAAAATTCCTCAATCAATGTATTTATAAATAAATCAAAACATTCTTCACGATTTCTATGACATACCCGTAATTCATTCAATTGTCATATAGATAATATTAATGAAAAAAAATTCCAGGCGGTGGCTTGTCTGGAAGTTTTAAGCCCAATATTGAAATCCAGGAAATTGAAGAAAAGTGCGTGGAATGCCCAAAGGGAGTTTCAGAAGGTTCCGAGCGACGATTAGAAGACCGTCTTCTCATGCGCACCATCGTGGCAGACGCGGGTGTCGGCTATCCACAGACGCTGGTGTTTCAATACAAACCGACCCTTCCCTATAGCCCCGGAAAGCACGATATTTATGTTGTCTCTCTTAGGAGTAAAGAAGATGAAAATGAGGCAATCAGAAAAACGCTAGATCTGTTCATTGGTTCTTTGGCAAAGAAAGGAATTAAAAAGGTACATATCTGTCTGTCTGCCTGTCTTTCTTTGTGAGACAATTGGGAAAAGGAGATATTACAAAATAAGCCAAACTGAAATTCCTAAACAAAGAATATTCTCGGCTATATGTTTTTTGCCATACTGATGCATTTCTTTTTACAGGGTCTGTTTCTTCTTGTAGGTTGTGGTCAAACCACCTAGGCACACATCACTAAAAGTGTCCTACCACACCACCAATGACGTACAGGACGTCTACACTGTCGTTTGTCGGGCATTGATCGCCCTAGTAGAGGGTGAGAGCATCATTGTGGAGGCATTCTGTGGGACCCTCAACCCATTACCTGTTCCTTCTCGTGACCACGAAGAACGTGCAGGTTGGTTATTTGAAGTTAAAGAATGAAAAATCGTTTATTTTTCATTAATGTTCTTTTTATTACAATTTTAAATACCTTTTGATCGTATAGAATTAAATTTGGTGTGGAAATCCCGGATAAATTTTTTAAAGAACTATTTCCATTTAAAGATTTTAATCGAGACGTAATTTTTCTTTAAATCTTGAAATCAGCAGGCAAAAACGATCTTACAAATATGTTTAAAATTTCTTGAACTTGGTTAATAACATGTTGCCGTTTTCTGCACATACAATTTATTCTAGTTGGCATCAAGATTAAGCCACTGTGCTGTGCTATTCGGGCTGTCATCTGCTGCACTCCTGACGGAAATCAGCTTGTGTCAGACATCGTCTGCGGTGTAGGTGACGCTGACATCACTCTCCATAGCAACAATACCTTGCCTGTGTCACTGGAGAGCTTCCTAATTCAGTGGGGGTTACAAAACAGATTAGATATTGAAAAGGTACCCGTAAATGGCCAAGAATATTTGTCTATCTTTCACAGTATTCACTACCACTTGATCTCTTTCTTGGTTATCTCAATTTGATTGACTCTCCTAGATATTGTTTTTGACAACCTCTTAATTATTTCTATACTAACTTCAATACTCCGATTAACTTTATTTATTTCTTAAAGATCTATACGCTGATTTGATATAAATCTTTACCGGTAGAGGTTGACATGCAATAAGTCACAAGGACTTTTACTCGCTTTCACAATTTGGCTGCCTGTTTTTTAAACTAGAGTTGGTAAATTGGCCATGCTGTACACGCGAATCCCGTTTACATTTATTGTACTTGTCTACACTTTAATTTAATGAACTCTCATAGTGTTAAGTAACGTCTGTTTATATACAGCTGATTGTGAAAAGGGCACAGGGTACTTAATAAGATCCTTGTGTATTGGATAGCTAGATACCGATTATTGTAAAGCGATCCACTTAATTTCCATTTCTAAGACATTCTTTATATAACATTTAGATACACCAGGTCATCAAGCGGAAGGCGGAGGCCATAATGGAAACTTTGGTGAGCCACGAGGAAGGCCAGAACTGGGATGAACCAAGCAAATTATTACCGAGACCAAATGTAATAGGTACACAAAGGGTTTAACATTAATTCCAATACACGTGTTCATGCTGCCTACAATCGAAACTTTGTGATATTAGAGCGTTATTATGAATGAGAGTAGTAGTTATGAATCAATGGCGCCATAAAATGTGTGAATTGTCGACAAAGCTGTTTTAAAGTACTTGCACCAAGAGAAGGATCAAACGCATATGCTAATGGTGAAAACGACATTTACGTTTTTATTCTATATAACGTGCAAAGGTATAGCGACGACTGATAAAATGTTTATATATTCCTGCACCATTGCATCTCTGTTAACCACAGCCCGTTTTCTGTTTAGGTGTCAATTTTGTCCTAACCCAGCAAAAGGGTGGAGACTACGATGCTGTAGCTATTAGCATTAATAACAGTGGAAAAACCATCGCAAACACGCAGATCTACGATTTTCAACATTCCTGCAATCTTGGAAAGAGTTTACGCCCCCTAGTGGCAACCATGGTCAACCGTAGTCAGCGGTTCCTTCTTCAAGGGAAACGGATTCTTTTAATTGGAGGTGGCGTCGGGATGCGCAAAAAGCATGCTTGGGAAGCCGCTAAGGAATACGGTGTGAAGGTAACTGTACACAATGCCAATCTGTTCCATCCCATAAATCTGAAAATTTATTTTTTCTGCCGTTTGTGACATTTCCTGAAAACCCATCTCTGTAACATTTTGTATAATGTTGTGAACATACAAAAAAAAAAAAAAAAAAAAAAAAAAAACCTACGAGACCGAAATCAAGTTATAAGTTATGATACTGATATTGTATATTTGTTTTGAACAGTCCTGTCCAATTCCCGTCTAGCTCTTCACAAAGCATACAAATGTGCTAAAGTTTACATACCTTTAAATCTGTCAGTTTGTTTCGTTTTGCAGATGATTTTAGTTGATCCCGATCCAAATCACAGTGCGGTTAAAAGCGTTCACAAGTTTATTCAATGCGATATTAATGATCACAGCCAAGATGACATCAATGCAGACAAAATTATCCAAATACTGCGTAAGCAAAATCTGTCCATAGACGGATGTATGACTGTCGAAGAAGGTCATATCCCTTTAATGTCACTGGTATGCACATCACTGCACCTTATCGGAATTACTCCCGATGTTGCAAGGAAGGTTAAGAAGAAAAGCCTCACCCAAAAATCCCTGAAAGAATCTTCGGCAAACATCTCTCTGTCGCCCGACCAATCACTGTTCGCAGTCAAAACGCACGAAGTCGTCCGACCCGATGATGTTGTGGGATCGTCCAACACCATCCATTACCCAGCCGTTTTGAAACTGGAGTACGGATCGGGCTGTGCTGGAGTTATTCTAGTCAAAGATGAGGCAGAATGCTTGGCACGCTATGACAACATCCAGAAAATCCTTAAAACCACAGACGACACAATTTTTGGGACGCGGCACGGGAACGACATGCACTTGGCCGAATATGCGCTGGGATCGAAACATAACGTCGATATCATCATGTTTCAAGGGAAGATATTAGCGGCATTGATCTCCGACGGTGGTCCAACACGCGTTCCAAATTTACTTTCGATGGCAGCGTGCACGCCTTCCTGTTTACCACCTGAGAAACAGAGACAGCTTGTGACAGCAACATTCCAATGTGTTAGGGCGGTTGGACTCACCGACGGCGTATTTAACGTGGAGTTAAAAATGACTCCTACGGGCCCTAAACTTATTGAGATAAATGGACGCATGACTGGATTGGCCAATAGGGAATTCCTTCGTATCGTCTATGAAACAGACATTCTCTTCTTAAATTACCTGATCGTGTGTGGGATTCAGCCGAACGTCCAGCCCATGGAACCTCGTTGCCAGCTCATGTGGGTAACATGTACATCAGCAGCCCACGCCAAGGCACTGTCCCGGTCGGGGACTGCCACGCCAGAGGTCCTTGCCGAGGCTCACAGCCGTGGAGAAATATTATACCATCAAAGGGAAACTGTACCTGAGGCAGATCCAGCCTACGAGAAGATATTTTGCCAAATAGGTGTAAAGGGGGAATCTGTAAGCGATGCAAAGAGAAAGTTGTTGGATGTTTGCAAGAAATATGGCGTCAATTGCGCCGAATTCCCTGTAGATTATTTTCTCTCCACCTTTGTGTAGTCACAGTTGATTTTAGACATCATCCCCAAGGACACCACCCTTCTACTAAGATCGATCAAACTCCACCGAATGCAATCGAATTAACAGACTATAACGCATTTTCTTTTTTTTATGAACTTGTATAATCACCAGTTTTTCACTATTTTATTCAACACCAGATCGATAGGTTCATTGGGAATGAGCCCGTAGATGAAATACACTGATAAAACAGTGTGTGGTTGCGGTAGGTGGGACGTATTTTTCATGTATTATAGGCCCACCCAGAATTCTGCTTCTGTTGTAAGTAACTAATGTGCCGTAGACTTGAACACGTACTTTCGGTAGAAAATTGCAAAAAAAGGAGGTGTTACTTTCATTTTTTGTTTATATATCTGAATATTGCCATTATGGGTTAAGCTTCGAGGGATCAAAACTGAACACCATGAAGAATCTTCCACTTTGAATCCTCGCTGCCACATATGGTACTGCCGTAATCGGTAAACATCCGGGTTCTTCTTAACAGGCCCCTCCAATATGTAGCCAATTCTTCTAAATTTACCCATTCAATATAGAGTCCAGTATAGAATGACACCTAGATGATACTGTAAACCAATCATCAACTTCTTTATTCGCACTGTAGCAGTACATTTGTGCATATATGGTGCGTATACGTTGCTTTGTGCGTATACGTTGCTTGGAATTATACTCCCGCTTACGTAACCCTTGGTATTAAATATTGATATCTTCACCGCCATTTTGTATTTTCTGTATCACTAATCACGAAAGTTATGGAATCTGGAATGAAAATCGCTTTTTATAACAATCTTCACCTGCGGTGTGATCTTTTATGAATAAAAGCACATGATACTGAAGGTGGGACAACCTTTTTGACCAGTGTAATATATATATATATATATATATATATATATATATATATATATATATATATATATATATCGTTTATCATGCATGTCAACGAAGTAAAAACATCCTATTTTGCAGTGTTTTATCTGATTATAATTGATTCTGCAAGCGCACAATTCGACTCAATTCAAAATTTAGTCACAAAGCGGTTTTATGCGGCAGCCTTTTCTTCGGCAGCAGCTTGAGCCACAGCTGTATTTGGGTTTGGTTTGGAGGGATCGAATGTGAACACCATGCAGGGTTCGGAGTCTGGGACCACCTTGTAGGCATCGTGCCATATGGCGGTGCAAAAGTCGGCGGCGGAGCTGTAAAATTCTTTGTACTTTTTACACACCGAGCCCTCTTTGCAGCTGTTAATTTCTAGGGAAAAAAACACAATTTAATTTTAGCATGATAATGTTTCTGGTGCTTGTGTCTACCTGATGGTCAGTGCCTCACTATAGACAACTGGTGTTTTGGGATCGCTGTTTTTGTAGCAAACGCCACTTTATTATTTCATTAAAATGTAGAAGAATATACGTTGTCGGGAGATATTCATTATTTACAATGGCGCCATCTGTGTCCATACAGGCCTACGTCGTTTAAAAGGCACATCTATATAAATTAAACAAAATTCGACATTTTTCCTATGTGACTTATTTTAGGAGTTTAGGGTGAATCAAATGGCATCACTCACCGCCCCAGTCCATGTCAGTGATCCAGTTCCTATGACAAGTGTATTCCTCTTTGCAGGCATCCCACCATTCTTCACACAGGCTGGCACAAAGCGGTACCTGATCAAGGTGGTCGAAATCCGGATATTCATACTGTAATGAAATGGTTAAGATTGGGAGAGAGAGAAAGATATTTCAGGTAGCTTGCTCATAACTTCTCTTCATATATACATTAAAATGTTGCGTTTCTTTTTTTCCTTCCAAGGAAAAAAGAGACGCAACATTTTAATTTTCGAAAATTCCCATGAAATATGGGTGCATTTGGAAAAATGACTTAGCATCATGGTTTCACTCTAAATTAGGCTGAAGACACGTTAACAGATTTCTTGGTTATGCTTGTATATATGACTGTAGAGGGAGAGAGAGAGAGATGGCTTCAGTGATCTTGCTCATGACTTTTCCACTTAATTTTCACTTAATACATGATATATGTTTTCCCATCCTTAAAATACGTACACAATATTCCCCTTTGCAACTGCAAACAAAATAACGCGATTTATTTTTGGTTCGGAGCGCATGTCAGATACACAGTATTTTTTATTTCAAAAAACTATATTTAACAACGCGGCTAAATGCAGCTTATCACTTCTTTACATCCCCACGCATACAAACAAACACACACACACACACACACACAGAGAGAGAGAGAGAGAGAGAGAGAGCAGATACACACAGACGATCCAACAGACATCAGATAATTGTACGTCATCATTCCTCTTCGTCCCGTGTGGGACATAAGGCCACATATAATTTGTACGTACTGCCTTGATAATCCACGGACCAAGGTTGGGAGAACAGGAATAGAAGCATATATCTTGGTACATTAGTCTCGCACATTCCGGTGACAGACGCGGTTTTTCTGGACAGTGGACGTAATCTATCATTGAATCCCACACATGGTTCTCCAGAAAATCTGCAGTTGCGTTCGTGTTGCAACAGGACCTTTCTCGGAAACTTGGACACTAGAAAAAACAACACTTAGGTTGAAATAAACGCCATGCATTCGACGCGATTTGACAAGGTCATTTACACTTTACGTTTCAGTAATACGAGTCAGTCCAACATTTTGCTTGTCATAAAGAAGTATACGCCACCTTATTCCTTTTGAGCAGAAACTGTGGCTTCTTATGTTATGATAGGTTTGAACAATTGTACATTTAAGTTAAGGCACATTGTTAAATTCTATCGAGATATCAAAAACAGGAGAAACGTGCGATTTATTATTTTCCTACATCATTGTTCAACATAAAGGAGAGTTTAACAGGTGCTTTAAATCATACACTTTGTAACATAGAACGTGATTAAAATAACCCGCAATAAAATGAATACTATCTCATCAGTTTATCGTAACTGTAAGCAAAAAGTTCATTCCTTTTTTTTTTTTTACATTTTTCGCTCTCTATTTTGTGGATCTTGCGTGAAAACAGGGGTGTCTGGCGTCCCTGTTTTAATTATCCTTGAATAACAACATGTAAGTTATTTATAGAGGTTTCTTTCATTTTTGTCTATGTCTGAACAAAGGATAATTACCAATGTCTGGAACTGGTGTTATAAAACAGTTCACTGTACCAGCATAGCTGCATTAGTCTCTGATCAATTATTTAAAAAAAAACATAAAATATGACCTGCTTTTTTCAACTGTTAGTCTTTTCACTAAAATTGGCAAACGTGGCTGTTCATTTTAATCAGTCATGTAATTTTTTTTCACTTTAAGGTTCCAGACCTTCAATGCACAAGAGATAACAGGTAGGCCAAAATGTTGCTCGTTCTAATCATATATATTGGTGTTTAAATATTTTTGGGGGGAATGACATAAAATATTGCTGCATTTAATGACAGCAGCTTTACATTGACAGTGCATTGTAGGAGTTTATCTAGTTTACTGCTAAAGTGGTGACTAAGGTCCTGTCGTTATGGGCAAATATTATCCATTGACTGATTGACTGCTTACAACTCATATACTGTGTCTCTATGAAATTAAATCTCACAGACAAATAAAAATTCAATATTAGATGGTCTTCTAACAGTTAAGCCAGTCTGAAGGAGAGCGATATAAGGCTAAGAAATTCAATTAAAACAATTTAATGTTCTCCAGAGAATCGAAGACACGTAACAAAGAAGTTAAAAGCTATTCTAGGAATTTAACAATGTTCACCTTAGCAACAGGTATGGCATGGCTACAAGAAATACTTTTCTACTATTGTCAAGCTTGTGTCAATCTTAACAATACTTGACTATCTTATATTTATAGATCTACATGTGCCATAATTGTCACAATTACACACCATACACATGATGTATTCAACGAAACAAATGTCAGCAAAACCTCTCTCTCTCTTCCTCTCTTTTAGTCACACAAACCATTTATGCGTTTTGACTATTTTTTTCATTCATTCTCTCTCTCTTTCTCTTTCTCTCTCACACACACACAACATGCGCACAAAAACATTCATAAATATACATACATACATACACACATATATATACATACAATCTCGCACCTCTAAATCTGGCTCGGGTGATGCAGTTGTCTTGCTGGCTCCTTCTATTGGCAAGGTAATACACATGTTCATATAGTCATCTGCAGTCTTCGGTTCACCAGCCCGAACTAAGATTTGGATGCTCAGTAAAACGAGACTGAAGATCAGAATTGTCTTCATTATCATACGTGTGGAGTTGAACAAAATGATGAGGAGTCCTCTTTCCATTGCTATATTGACTCTAACTTGTCTGACGTAGTATTTGAATCATTGCTGTCAGAGCCAATCAAATTGAACTTATACCGGTGACAATATTACCATCTAAACAACGGTGCACAATACGTAATAGTAGGCCGTCAGATGTATGTCTTTAGATAGAAGACTGTTTTGAAAAATATAATTTTCAAAACAATTAAATATACTTGAGAAGCCTCATACTGAGAATGACGAGTCATATTTCATTGGCGGTATTTGTACATAACCATGAAGATATATGACTGCATTGTCTGGAAAAAATCACCACAAAACAGAATACAGGTTGAAATGAACACATTATTTCATATTATTTTGTTTCCTACCCATTAAAATCAAAGTACAGTAAACCAAAGTCATGCATATTGTTAAACAATTGCCTTTATATTTTTCTGCATCTTATGCAGATACGTATTTTCTGTATCCTGCAGCCCTTTTTCGACTAACATTACTAACATAACCATTATGTTTCCTCTTTAAAATTAAAAAGTAACCACCTGAAATATGATTAGTTATATATGTTCATTAAACTAAGTCGCGTAATTAATTCTGGCATTTATTGGTGTGTTAACTGGTACAAGATATTAGATTATTTTAAGAACATTTACCTGGGCAAAGCTTCTTTCATCTCTCTCTCTCTCTCTCTCTCTCTCTCTCTCTCTCTCTATATATATACCACAAATATACCAGTGAGTTAGCATACCTCCCCAGTGACACATAGGTCAAACCTACAACCTGGAAACAAAACCTGCTGACCTATATACCATCATATCACATAAAGGGTGAGGGCAACTGAAAGCCCGGGTCAGTAATAAGTGCACGAGTTCTGCATGCAAAAACACACAGAAAACCACTTGTTCATGCATAAAACCAACTATGACCAATATAGTAATGTTTATACTGACAAAGGATGATGAAAATTGTTCTCCACGCCGTCTGCTCACTGCCATCACAAGTACTGGAACGAGGCTTACTGTCCTGCGAGCGAAAAAGTCGGTGAAAGGAGTCAGCCAGACACTGGCCCCTGGTAATTTGACTCTGATTAAAGGACTACATGAGAGCCAGGGGTTGATTGACTCTGATAAGAAAGTCTAAAGACTCTGGTAGTGGGGTAATTTGACACTTATATAGGAGTCAAATTAACTCTATGAGGGTCAAGGGGTGCTGGACTCTGACTAGAGAGTCAAATGGCTCCAATTTATTCTAAGTGCAGTTGTGTGAAAATGAAAAGAGACATGCTAACAGTTCAGTGAATTAATCGTTTTGAATTCGTTCTCTCCCTGGAGACTAAATTCGTGGACAGCAGTTGGGTCGGGGCTGTAAAGGAGGATGCAGTGCTATGTTCTGGATCTCAGCTGGGTTCTGGTCCGAGCTCTGCTTCTGATTTGACTCTGGCTTTTGATCCGGGTTGTGTACCCGAACTGGTTCTGTTCTGGGCTCTGGTACCAAAATGGGTACGGGTTCTGGTCTGGTCTCTGGTTCTGGTACTGGTTCTTTTCTGGGCTATGGTCCTGAACTGGGTACCGGTTCTGGTCCATGATCTGGCTTTGTTAATCTTCAGAATTTGAAATTCATAGTTTGAAAAAGGATATTTTTCAACTTCCTTGTGATAAATACAGTCATTTATGTCGCTATCACCNACCTGTCCATAGACGGATGTATGACTGTCGAAGAAGGTCATATCCCTTTAATGTCACTGGTATGCACATCACTGCACCTTATCGGAATTACTCCCGATGTTGCAAGGAAGGTTAAGAAGAAAAGCCTCACCCAAAAATCCCTGAAAGAATCTTCGGCAAACATCTCTCTGTCGCCCGACCCATCACTGTTCGCAGTCAAGACACACGAAGTCGTCCGATCCGATGATGTTGTGGGATCGTCGAACACCATCCAGTACCCAGCCGTTTTGAAACTGGAGTACGGATCGGGCTGTGCTGGAGTTATTCTAGTCAAAGATGAGGCAGAATGCTTGGCACGCTATGACAATATCCAGAAAATCCTTAAAACCACAGACGACACAATTTTTGGGACGCGGCACGGGAACGACATGCACTTGGCCGAATATGCGCTGGGATCGAAACATAACGTCGATATCATCATGTTTCAAGGGAAGATATTGGCGGCATTGATCTCCGACGGTGGTCCAACACGCGTTCCAAATTTACTTTCGATGGCAGCGTGCACGCCTTCCTGTTTGCCACCAGAGAAACAGAGACAGCTTGTGACAGCAACATTCCAATGTGTTAGGGCGGTTGGACTCACCGACGGAGTATTTAACGTGGAGTTAAAAATGACTCCTACGGGCCCTAAACTTATTGAGATCAACGGACGCATGACTGGATTGGCCAATAGGGACTTCCTTCGTATCGTCTATGAAACGGACATTCTCTTCTTAAATTACCTGATCGTGTGTGGGATTCAGCCGAACGTCCAGCCCATGGAACCTCGTTGCCAGCTCATGTGGGTAACATGTACATCAGCAGCCCACGCCAAGGCACTGTCCCGGTCGGGGACTGCCACGCCAGAGGTCCTTGCCGAGGCTCACAGCCGTGGAGAAATATTATACCATCAAAGGGAAACTGTACCTGAGGCAGATCCAGCCTACGAGAAGATATTTTGTCAAATAGGTGTAAAGGGGGAATCTGTAAGCGATGCAAAGAGAAAGTTGTTGGATGTTTGCAAGAAATATGGCGTCGATTGCGCAGAATTCCCTGTAGATTATTTTCTCTCCACATTTGTGTAGTCACAGTTGAATTTAGACATCGTCCCCAAGGACACCACCGATCTACTTAGCTCGGTCCAACTCCGCAGAATACAATCGGATTAACCAATTATCACGCATACTCTTTTTTCCCAACGAACATGTATAATCACCAGCTTTTCTATTTTTCATGCAACGCCAGATCGGTAGTTCCATTGGAAATGAGCCCGTAGACGAAATATCCTGATAAAACATTGTGTGATTGCGGTAGGTGGGACATATTTTTCATATTTTTTAGCCCCACCCAGAAGTCTGCTTCTGTTGTAAGTAACTAATGTGCTGTGGTCTTGAACATGTACTTTCAGTAGAAAATTGCAAAAAAGGAGGTGTAACTTTCATTTTTTGTTTATATATCTGAATATTGCTGGTATGAGGATGTAATGTTCTCTGGACTGCTTAATTTTCTGCTGCAGACTTCTTCCCTGCAGCATCTATAGCAACAGGAACATTTGGGTTTAGCTTCGAGGGATCAAAACTGAACACCATGAAGATTCCCCCACTTTGAATCCTCGCTGCATATGAGGATTGAATTAACTAATGACTTATGAATATACACTGTACGTTAGATTAAATATAATGCATGACCATGCACGTGTTACGAATGCGGGAGTTTTAATTCCAAGCAACGTATGCACAAATGTACTGCTACAGACGAATAAAGAAGTTGATGATTGATTTACAGTATCATCTAGGTACCATTCTATACTGGGCTACATATTGGTTGGGTAGATTAAATTGTTTTTTGTGTAAGAGAACCAAACTCCTAATAATCTGGACTAATTCCCCCAAGCTCTTTAGGAAGAATGGGACAATATCCCACAAAACAGAGGTGTGTAAATTTGGTGACATTTGGTAGTGTCATTTCAATTAAAGGGACATTTCTTTACCTTTGTGAGAACCACCGTGAAACGCCGGATTTGAGGGGGTATATGTTATAAATGTGAATAAATGGTATTAAATATTGATATCTTCACCGCTAGTTTGTATTTTTGTATCACTTATCATGATAGTTATGGTATCTGGAATGAAAATCACTTTCTATAACAATCTTCACCTGCGATGTGATCATTTATAAATATAAGCAAATGATACTGAAGGTGTGACAACCTTTTTGACGTTTGTCATGCATGTCAACGAGGTAAAACATCCTTATTGCAGAGTTTTATCTAAATATAATGGGAGATTCTGCAAGCGCACAATTTGACTCAATTCAAAATTTAGTCACAAAAGCGGTTTTATGCGGCAGCCTTTTTCTCGGCAGCAGCTTGAGCCACAACTGTATTTGGGTTTGGTTTGGAGGGATCGAATGTGAACACCATGCAGGGTTCGGAGTCTGGGACCACCTTGTAGACATTGTGCCATGCTGTGGTGCAAAAGTCGGCGGCGGAGCTGTAAAACTCTTTGTACTTTTTACACACCGAGCCCTCCTTGCAGCTGTTAATTTCTAGGGAAAAAAACACAATTTAATATTATTGAGCATGATAATTTTTCTGGTGCATGTGTCTACCTGATGGGCAGTGTCTCACTTTAGACAATAAGTGTTCTGGGATCGCTTTGTAGTAAACGTCACTTTATAACTTCATTAAAATGTAGTAGAATATACGTTCTCAGGAAAAAGTCATTATTTACATGGCGCCCGTTGAAAAAGCATATCTGTATAAATCAACCAAAATTCGACATTTGTCCTATGTGACTTATTTTAGGAGATCAGCATGAATCAGATGGCATCACTCACCGCCCCAGTCCATGTCAGCGATCCAGTCCCTATGACAAGTGTATTCCTCTTTGCATGCATTCCACCATTCTTCACACAAGCTGGCACAAAGTGGTACCTGGTCAAGGAGCTCGATATCCGGTTGTTCATACTGTAATGGAATGGTTAAATTTATATTCAAATATATATTCAAGGAAAAAAAAGAAAAGCAATATTTTAATTTTCAAAAATTCCCATGAAAAATGGGTGCATTAGGAAAAATATCTTGGCATCATGGTTACACTCTAAATTAGGCTGAAGACGGGGTAACAGATTTCTTGGTTCCGCTTGTATACATATGACTGGAGAGAGAGAGAGCGAGAGAGAGATGGCTTTAGGGATCTTGCTCATGACTTTTTCACTAAATTTTCACTTTGTACATGATGTTTACCCATCCTTAAAATACATACACAATATTCCCCTGTGCAACTGCTAGCAAAATTACGCGATTTTTTTTGTTCGGAGCGCATGTAAGATGGGCAGTATTTTTTACTTCAAAAAAAGTATATTTAGCAACGCGACTAAATTCAACTTATCTCTTCTTTACATCCCCACGCATACAAACACAAACACACATGCGTACACAGAGAGAGAGAGAGAGAGAGAGAGAGAGAGAGAGCAGGGACACACGATTCCACAGACATCAGTAAATGCACAACATCAGTAATTGCCTTGACAATCCACGGACCAAGGTTGGGGGAACAGGCATAGAAGCATATATCTTGGTGCATCAGTCTCGCACATTCTGGTGACAGACGCGGTTTCTCTGGACAGTGGACGTAATCAAACATTGAATCCCACACATGGTTCTCCAGAAAATCTGCAGTTGCGTTCGTGTTGCAACAGGACCTTTCTCGGAAACTTGGACACTAGAAAAAAAAACACTTAGGTCGAAATAAACGCCATGCATTCGACGCAGTTTGACAAGGTCATTTACACTTTACATTTCAGTAATACGAGTAAGTCCAACATCTTGCTTGTCATAAAGAAGTACACGCCACCTTTTTCCTTTTGAGCAGAAACTGTGGCTTCTTATGTTATGATAGGTTTGAACAATTGTACATTTAAGTTAAGGCACATTGTTAAATTCTATCGAGATATCAAAAACAGGAGAAACGTGCGATTTATTATTTTCCAACATCATTGTTCAACATAAAGGAGAGCTTAACAGGTGCTTTAAATCATACACTTTGTAACATAGAACGTGATTACTATCTCATCAGTTTATCGTAACTGTAAGCAAAAAGTTCATTCTTTTTTTTTTTTTTTTTACATTTTTCGCTCTCTATTTTGTGGATCTTGTGTGAAAACAGGGGTGTCTGGCGTCCCTGTTTTAATTATCCTTGAATAACAACATGTAAGTTATTTATAGAGGTTTCTTTCATTTTTGTCTATGTCTGAACAAAGGATAATTACCAATGTCTGGAACTGGTGTTATAAAACAGTTCACTGTACCAGCTTAGCTGCATTAGTCTCTGATCAATTATTTTAAAAAAGCATAAAATATAACCTGCTTTTTTAATGTCAGTCTTTTCATTAAAATTGGCAAACGTGGCTGTACATTTTAATCAGTCTTGTAATGTATTTTTTTTTCACTTTAAGATGCAAAACTTTCAATGCACAACAGATAACAGGTGGGCCAAAATGTTGCTCGTTCTAATCATATATGTTGCTGTTTAAATATTTTTTGAGGGAAATGACAAAATATTGCTGCATTTAATTACAGCAGCTTTACATTGACAGTGCATTGTAGGACTTTATCTAGTTCACTGCTAAAGTGGTGACTAAGGTTCTGTCGTTATGGGCAAATGTTATCTATTGACTGCTTACAACTCACATACTGTGTCTCTATGAAATTAATCTCACATACAAATAACGATTCAATTTTAGATGGTCTTCTAACAGTTCAGCCAGTCTGAAGGAGACCGATATAAGGCTAAGAAATTTAATTTAAACAATTTAATGTTCTCCAGAGAATCGAAGACACGTAACAAACAAGTTAAAAGCTATTCTAGGGATTTATCAATGTTCACAATTAGCAACAGGTATGGCATGGCTACAAGAAATACTTTTCTACTATTCTCAAGCTTGTGTCAATCTTAACAATACTTGACTATCTTATATTTATAGATCTACATGTGCCATAATTGTCACAATTACACACCATACACATGATGTAGTCAACGAAACAAATGTCAGCAAAACCTCTCTTTCTCTCTTCCTCTCTTTTAGTCACACAAACCATTTATGCGTTTTGACTATTTTTTTCACTCCCTCTCTCTCTCTCTCTCTCTCTCTCTCTCACACACACACACATGCGCGCAAAAACATTCATAAATATACATACATACACATATATATACATACAATCTCGCACCTCTAAATCTGGCTCGGGTGATGCAGCTGTCTTGCTAGCCCCTTCTATTGGCAAGGTAATACACATGTTCATATAGTCATCTGCAGTCTTCGGTTCACCAGCCCGAACTAAGTTTTGGATGTTCAGTAAAACGAGACTGAAGATCAGAATTGTCTTCATTATCATACGTGTGGAGTTGAACAAAATGATGAGGAGTCCTCTTTCCATTGCTATATTGACTCTAACTTGTCTGACGTTGCATTTGAATCATTGCTGTCAGAGCCAATCAAATTGAACTTATACCGGTGACTAATTACCATCTAAACAACGGTGCACAATACGTAATAGTAGGCCGTCAGATGTATGTCTTTAGATAGAAGACTGTTTTGAAACATACAACTTTCAAAACAATTAAATATACTTGAGAAGCCTCATACTGAGAATGACGAGTCATATTTCATTGGCGGTATTTGTACATAACCATGAAGATATATGACTGTATTGTCTAGAAAAAATCACCACAAAACAGAATACAGGTTGAAATGAACACATTATTTCATATGTATTTTGTTTCCTACCCATTAAAATCAAAGTACAGTAAACCAAAGTCATGCATATTGTTAAACAATTGCCTTTATATTTTCCTGCATCTTATGCAGATACGTATTTTCTGTATCCTGTAACCCTTTTTCGACTAACATTACTAACATAAACATTATGTTTCCTCTTTAAAATTAAAAAGTAACCACCTGAAATATGATTAGTTATATATGTTCATAAAACTAAGTCGCGTAATTAATTCTGGCATTTACTGGTGTGTTAACTGGTACAGGATATTAGATTAATTTAAGAACATTTACCTGGGCAAAGCTTCTTTCATCTCTCTCTCTCTCTCTCTCTCTCTCTCTCTCTCTCTCTCTATATATATATATATATATATATCACAAATATACCAGTGAGTTAGCATACCTCCCCAGTGACACACAGGTCAAACCTACAACCTGGAAACAAAACCTGCTGACCTAGATACCATCATATCACATAAAGGGTGTGGGCAACTGAAAGCCCGGGTCAGTAATAAGTGCACGAGTTCTGCATGCAGAAACACACAGAAAACCACTTGTTCATGCATAAAACCAACTATGACCAATAAAGTAATGTTTATACTGCCAACCATGATGAAAATTGCTCTCCACGCCGTCTGCTCACTGCCATCACAAGTACTGGAACGAGGCTTACTGTCCTGCGAGCGAAAAAGTCGGTGATTAAAGGACTACTTGAGAGCCAGGGGTTGATTGACTCTGATAAGAAAGTCTAAAGACTCTGGTAGTGGGGTAATTTGACCCTTATATAGGAGTCAAATTAACTCCATGAGGGTCAAGGGGTACTGGACTCTGACTAGAGAGTCAAATGGCTCCAATTTATTCTACTGTAAGTGCAGATGTGTGAAATGGAAAAGAGCCATGCTAACAGTTCAGTGAATTTATCGTTTTGAATTCGTTCTCTCTTGGGAGACTGTGAATTCGTGGACAGCAGTTGGGTCGGGGCTGTAAAGGAGGATGCAGTGCTATGTTCTGGATCTCAGCTGGGTTCTGGTCCGAGCTCTGCGTCTGATTTGACTCTGGCTTTTGATCCGGGTTGTGTACCCGAACTGGTTCTGTTCTGGGCTCTGGTACCAAAATGGGTACGGGATCTGGTCTGGTCTCTGGTTCTAAACTGGGTACTGGTTCTTTTCTGGGCTCTGGTTTTGAACTGGATACGGGTTCTGGTCTGGGCTCTGGTCCTGAACTGGGTACCGGTTCTGGTCCGTGATCTGGCTTTGGTAATCTTCAGAATTTGAAATTCATAGTTTGAAAAAGGATATTTTTCAACTCCCTTGTGATAAATACAGTCATTTACGTCGCTATCACCTAGGTATAGGACCATTATGTATTGGTACAAAGAAATTTAGTCAAAGTAATTTAGTTTAGCCATAATTTGGGACATAAACTCGATCAATTTGATCTAAATGGTGTCACGATCAGTGGCACTATGGAAGAAATACCAAAGATAAGACGATTGCATTCCAACATTTGCCTCCAGGTATTGCGTGTGGAGTTTACAGTAGGGTTCTGATTGGCGAAAAGCATTAATAGTTGCAGTTGTGGAGGATAAAAATAGTTGGATATTCAGCAAGACTACAGTAACTGAATTAAAAATTAAAAATTGTTTTGTTGTATATTATATCATATTCTTTTGTCACATTTATCATGTTAAAAAGCATGATAAGGAAGTAAAAACACCTAATTTTGCAGAGTGGGCTTTATCTGAATATCAGGGTGATTCTACAAGCGCACAATTCGACTAAATTCAAGGTTTAGCCACAAAGCAGTTTTATGCGGTCGCCTTTTTCTCGGCAGCAGCTTGAGCCACGGCTGTATTTGGATTTGGTTTCGAGGGGTCGAAGGTGAATACCAAGCAGGGTTCAGAGTCTGGAACCACCTTATAGGCATCGTGCCAAATGGCGGTGCAGAAGTCAGCAGCGGAGCTGTAAAACTCTTTGTACTTTTTACACACCGAGCCCTCCTTGCAGCTGTTAATTTCTAGGGAAAAACACAATTTAAATTTATTGAGCATAAGTATATGCCTTGTGCACGTGGCTACGTTATGATTAGTGACACACTTTATATAATTGATGCATCGATATTGGAGCAAACTTAAAGTTTCGGCAACCAGTGTGCAGGGGTTTGAATCGTATGTTGATGATTTCGTAGTAAATTTGCAAAAAAGAAAAAAAAAAAAAAAAAAAAAAACCAAGTTTGCAGCAGGTTTGTAGGAAAGTCGTTGTCTTCTAGCAGTTTCGCAGAAAATTAGCGGTTAATTAGCAAGAACAACTTTGTAAGTTTACAAGATGGTCTTCATTTTCTTGCAAATTTGAAGCAAATTTGATGCAAATTCGCGGCAAATTAGCAGCAAATTTGTAATAAGTTTGCAGAAAATTTGCGAGAGAGTTTGCCGAAGGACTAATATTTTACCAAGGGATGTCACTTAATTATTTAATATAAATGCAGTAGAATATACGTCGGCGGGAAATACACATACATCTGCATCGATTTTAACCAATCCCTGTCTGACTTATTTTAGGAGATCAGCTTGAATCAGATGGCATCACTCACCGTTCCAGTCCATGTCAGTGATCCAGTCCCTATGACAAGTGTATTCCTCTTTACAGGCATTCCACCATTCTTCACACTGGCTGGCACAAAGTGGTGCCTGAACAATAAGGTCGAAATACGGATGTTCATCCTGTAATGAAATGGATTAGTTTGTGAGAGAGGGAGGGGGTTAGGTATCTTCCACACAGTATCTCTTGATATATATATATATATATATATATATATATATATATATATATATATATATATATATATATATAACTTTAATATTAATGTCAAATACACAGTATTTTAATTTCAAAAATGTATATTTTAACAACGCGACTAAATACATAATGCATGTCATCACTTCTTTACATCTCTGCGCATACAAACACACACACATACACACGTGCAGAGAGAGAGAGAGAGAGAGAGAGAGAGAGAGGGAGAGAGCAGGGTAACACAGATGGCCCAATAGACATCATTACATGTACGTACTACCTTGACAATCCATGGGCCCAGGTTGGGAGAACAGGAATAGAAGCATATATCTTGGTGCGTTAGTCTCTCACACTCTGGGGAAAGACGCGGTTTATCTGGACAGTGGAGGTAATCTACCATTGAATTCCACACATGGTTCTCCAGAAAATCTGCAGTTGCGTTCGTGTTGCAACAGGACCTTTCTCGGAAACTTGGACACTAGAAAAGAAAAAATACTTAGGTTGAAATAAACGTGATGCATTCGACGCGATTTGGAAATATCCTTTACACTTTATGTTTTAGTAATACGAATAAGTGCAACATCTTGCTTGTCATAAAGAAGTAAACGCCATTTGAGTCCTTTTGAGCAGAAGCTGTGGCTTCTTAATCTTATGTTTTGAGAGGTACATTGTTAAATTTCATTGAGATATCAAAAACAGTATTGTTCAACATTAAGGAATGCTTTACATGCGTTTTAAATCGTACACCTCTTAACTTTAAAGTGATTAAAATAACCCTTTATGTTTTGAATACTATCTCATCAGGTTATCAAAAAATTCCTCTTTTTACATTTTACATTGTGTCTGTTTGGCAGATCTGTAACAGCTTTATTCGTCCTTGAATGACAACATTAGATATTTATAGAGGTTTACCTCAAGTAACGTTTTTGTTTATGTTTTAACAAAGGATGATTACCAATCATTGGAACTGATGTAATAAAACAGTTCATTGCACCAGCACAGCTGTTTTAGTCGTTCAACAATTATTTTAAAAAGCACAACATATGAAATGCTTTTTTGACCTGTCAGTCTTTTCATTAAAATTGGCAAACGTGGCTGTTTATTTTTATCAGTCCTCTTATGTATGTTTTTTCACTTTTAGGCTACCATTATGTATATCATACATAAAAGTCCTGAAATAATTGTACAATAGATATCAGGTTGGACCAAAAATGTTGCTTGTTCTAATTATATACTGTCGTTTAAGTATTTATTTTCTGCAAACGCTGTAAGGTTTCCCTAGGGTTTCCCCAAAGAGGGACATTTCCCCTCAATATCCAGTTAAGCCAGTCTGAAGGAGACCGACATTAGGCAAAGAAATTAAATCGAAGACACATAACAAACAAGTTAAAAGCTATTCTAGGAATTTATCAATGTTAACAAGAAATACTTTTCTATTAATCTCAGGTTTTCTTACCAATACTTGACCATCTTATATTTATAGATCTACATGTACAATTTTGTCTCTATTATACACCATACACATGGTGTATACAATAAAACGAATGTTAGCAAAACCTCTCTCTCTCCCTCTCTTTTAGGCACACAAACCATTTATGCGTTTTGACTATTTTTCATTCTCTCTCTCTCTCTCTCACACACACACACACACACACACACACAAACGCACACCCGCACCTCTAAATCTGGCTCGGGTGATGCAGTTGTCTTGCTGGCCCCTTCTATTGGCAAGCTAATACACATGTTCATATAGTCATCTGCAGTCTTCGGTTCACCAGCCTCAACTAAGACTTGTATGTTCAATAATACAATACTGAAGATCAGAATTGTCTTCATTATCATACGTGTGGAGTTGAACAAAATGACGTGGAGCCCTCTTTCAATTGCATATTGACGATAACTTGTCTGACGTAGCATTTGGATCATTGCTGTCATAGCCAATCAAATTGAAGTTATGTCGGTGACAGTATTACCATCAAAATAACGGTGCACAAAGCGTAATTGAGGACCGTCAGATCGCCGAGAGAAGACCATTACAAACATATTATTAGATTCTAGATCTGCATGTACTGTATCTTTTGCAGACTCATACCTCCCAGTCCCTGCTAAAATTCCTCAATTCTAGGACGCAATGGCATGAAATATACAAATAAAAGTGTATTTGTAACTCTTTCTACCGACTAATATTTTTATATACTGTATGTTAACTTATTAATTTTTTTTACAGTCGACACCTTGATAAAGTTTTGAAAAAAAATCAAACATAATCAATTCCGGTATCAAATGGTTTGTGTAACAGGTACAAGTATAGCTCGTTTCAGTTTTATTGTATTGACTTTTATATAGACCATATTCCAAAATCTTAGTGAAGCTTTACAGAAATGACATTACCTCAACCCCATCATCTCAACAGTGGGAGTAGCCATGCTAACAGTCGAGTGGAATAGTCGTTTGGGGTTTGTTCTTTTTTGATGGACTGTGTATTTGTGGTAAACAGCAGGGCCGGAGCTGTAAAGTAGAACTTGGTGCTTTGTTTTGGCTTCGAGCGTGGCACGGGTTCTGGTCTAAGTTCTGGATTAGAACTGGTTACGGGTTCTGGTCCATGGTCTAGTTCTGAACTGGATACGGGTTCTATCTGGGCTCTGGTTCTGAACTGGGTACGGGTTCTGGTCTGGGCTCTGAACTGGGTAAGGGTTCTGGTTCGGGCTCTGGTTCCAAACTGGGTACGGGTTATGGTCTGGGCTCTGGTTCTGAACTGGCTACGGGTTCTGGTCTGAGCTCTGGTTCTGAACTGGGTAAGGGTTCTGGTTCGGGCTCTGGTTCCAAACTGGGTACGGGTTCTGATCTGGGCTCTGGTTCTGAGCTGGGTAGGGTTCTGGTCTGGGCTCTGGTTCTGAACTGGGAACGGGTTCTGGTTCGGGCTCTGGTTCCAAACTGGGTACGGGTTATGGTATGGGCTCTGGTTCTGAACTGGATACGGGTTCTGGTCTGGGCTCTGGTTCTAAACTGGGTAAGGGTTCTGGTCCATGATCTGGTTCTGAACTGGATTCAGGTTCTGGTTCATGATCTGGTTCTGAACTGGATGCAGGTTCTGGTCCATGATCTGGTTCTGAACTGGATGCAGATTATGGTCCATGATCTGGTTCTGAACTGGATACATGTTCTGGTCTATGATCTGGTTTTGAACTGGATACAGGTTCTGGTCTGGGCTCTGGTTCTGAACTGGGTACGGGTTCTGGTCTGGGCTCTGGTTCTGAAATGGGTACGGTTTTTGGTTTTGGGCTCTAGTTCTGAACTGGGTACGGGTTTTGGTTTGGGCTCTAGTTCGTCACCGGGTACAGGTTCTTGTGTGGGTTTTGGATATGAAATGGATACGGGTACTGATGTGGGTTCTGGTAGAGAACATGGTACAGGTACTGGTGTGGGTTCTGGTTCTGAACTGGGTACGGTTTCTGATCTGGGCTGTGGAATGAACTTGGTCTGGGTTTTGGTCCCGTTGCTGGTTCTGTAGTCGATACGGGTTCTGTTCTGGGTTTTGGTTCTGAACTGGACACGGCATTGGGTCCCGGCCCTGGTTTTGAACTAAGTACAGATGGTAGAGAAGGTTGAAGAGACTCATTAGTTTGTGTCAGCGCCTCAATATCTGCATGATGGCTTACAAGCACGACGATAAAAACCAATATCTGAAAATAAAATTACTTTACCTTTCTAATTACTAAGCTAACATAAAAGTGATAAACGGCTTTAATATTTCTGACCTATTTCTGAAAATTTTCATCAAAACCCATCCATTAGTTTTTGAGTTAGGCTGGTGTCAAACAAACAAACGGAGGTTTGATTGGCGGAATGAAGACCTGTTAACAACATTTGTCCGTTTTTGGACTATCTAGTCACTCGAATTAGGGAGATATATATCTACGCCAAAGTGGGTCTGCCTTAATGTTAACATTTATGTAATTACCTACTTTTATTCACAATTCATAGTGACCATTCCCACAGATTTTGGATCGATCTTTCTCCCTGGGGAGTCTCGCTAAATTGCGATCAACTTAACCGGCTTAAATGTCTGTCATGCCTAGTAAAGCTGTATTTACCCTAGCTGATTCGGTAGGCATGACAGACATTTAAGCATCTTGGGTTGATAGCAATTAAGCGTGAACCCCTCAGGGAGTAATGCCGATCCAGATGGATCAATCTAAGTATGAGAACCCAGTCATAGAGTAGATTGATTTATATCTAGGTCTGATGCAGCATTTAGTTTCACGTGCTGTCAGCTTTATGATGCAGGTATTGCAACGAAAACGTAAACAACGGTCCAAAATAATGAATGGTAGGCTGCCAAATGAATGATAAGGGAAGCCTTAGAAAGGCATTTGTTATTTTGTTATACAAAGTCAATAAATACATTTTTCATAATGTACAGATTGTTCAAATATTATTTTTCGGTTTCATATTTAAGACGGCGGTTATTGCCAAATACCAGACGATTGCACCCCAAGATTTGCTTCCAATATTGCATGTTGAGTTTTCAGTAGGGTCGTCATTGGCCAAATAAATTCTTGTCGTAGCAGATAAAAAAACTCATATTTAGCAAGATTAACTGAACTCAAAAGTAAGAGAACTTGGTTTTGCTCGTGGTATTATGTTATATTCTATTATCATGGTAACGAAATAATAACACCCTATTTTGTAGAGCTTTATCTGATTATGCAGAGAATCTACAAGCGCACAATTCGACTAAATTCTAACTTTAGCCACAAAGCGGTTTCATGCAGTCGCCTTTTCCTCGGCAGCAGCTTGAGCCACGGCTGTATTTGGATTTGGTTTCGATGTGTCGAAGGCAAATACCATGCAGGGTTCCGAGTCTGGCACCACCTTGTAGGCACCGTGCCATATGGTGTTGCAAAAGTCGGTCGCAGAGCTGTAGAACTCTTTGTATTTCCTACACACCGAGCCCTCCTTGCAGCTGTTTATCTCTAGAATATAACCCACAGAATTCAATATTATTTACCGTGATTATGTTTATAGTGCATGTGGCTATCTGAAGGACAGTGATTCAATTTAGATAACTAATGTGGTGGGATAATTGTTTTTAAAGTAAATTTCACTTTATTTTTTCATTAAAATGTACATGAAGTAGAATATCTGTTTGGATGAAATATACATAATTTGCCAAGGCGCCGCACGTCCGCATCTTTAGGGGCTAAGGTCGTCTAACATCACATCAGTTTAAATCAAATCCCTGTACCTGTAATCAGATGACGTCACTCACCTGGAACGTTCCAGTCCATGTCAGCGATCCAGTCCTTGTGGCAAGTGTATTCCTCTTTGCAGGCATTCCACCATTTTTTACATTGGCTGGCACAAATTGGTGCCTGATCAAGGTGGTTGATATCCGGATATTTATACTGTAATGAAATAAGAGTGACAGGTAAAAAACGACAGGGAGAGAGAGGGAGGGAGAGTTTGCTTTTAGGTATTTTACTCATGACTTTTTTCGTGATTACTTTTATCATGATTCCCCATCTTTTGTATGCACAATGTTCACTTTACCAATTGCATACAAAATAACACCAATTCGTTTTATTCGGAGAAGAGCTCGTCAGCTTAAACTTAGGATATTAGTCAACCCGGCTAATTGCAAAGCACATTTTGTTTGCGCACACACACACACACACACGCACAGAGAGAGAGAGAGAGAGAGAGAGAGAGAGAGCAGGGAAACACAGACGACTCAACAGACAACATTAAATGTACGTACTGGCTTGGCAATCCACGGGCCGAGATTTGGTGAACAGGCAAAGAAGCACATTTCTTGGTGCGTCAGTCTCTCGCACTTTGGGGAAAGACGCGGTTTCTCTGGACAGTGGACGTAGTTTACCACTGTTCCCCACACGTGGTTCTCCAGGAAATCTGCAGTTACGTTCGTGTTGCAGCAAGACTTTTCTCGGAAACTGGGACACTATAGAAAAATAAACACTTAGGCTGAAATGAACATAATGTAATTGCCGCGACTCAGCAAAATCAGTTACACTTAAGTAAAATATATATTACCTAAAAGTATGGCTTGTCATAAAGAAATAAACGGCACTTCATTCCTTATGTGTAGAAACTGTGCTAGTAGGTTCACATAGAATAAAAGCTTTATTGAGATATCAAAACATTTGCAACATTATTGCTTAACATAAAGTGCTTAGTGCGTTTTACTTGTGTTTTAAATCGCACACTTTATCTCTTTAAATGCATTAAAATAACCCTTAATGATTTGGATACGTTCATATTAGCTTACATATACATGTATAGAGCGTGTGTGTAGTAAGCAGTGCTCAATTATGCGGAGCATTCATAGACAATTACAAATAAATAAATAAATAAACATGAGACATGTGTGAACGCCAACCATGAGTTTCTCCGATCAACAGGAGGTTGTTTATTTTAAAATCTTTAAAAAAAATCTTGAAACTTTTTTGCTTCCGTTTGGCAGATCTTGTGTGAAAACAGGGGCGTCTGACGTCACAGTTTTAATCGTTCTTGAATGAGAACATGTCTGACATTTATGGTATCATGACAGTTTTCCCCAGGACAATCCCTCCAGAACACCCCCCCCCCCCTCAAGAAACACACACACACACACACACACACACACACACACACACACACACACACACAGAGAGAGAGAGAGAGAGAGAGAGAGAGTAGAGTGTAAAGTTCAAAACATTTCACCTATTTTTAATGTTTTAAGTTTGATAATGCAACTCCATCTTTAATCAAAATGTCTCAGATTTGACATATATGGTGGCGTGTTTATATCATTTATGTTACATTTATGTAACATTTATATTTATAATGTTTGAAAAAAGGATGATCACCAACGTCTGGAAATGGCGTCATAAAAACAGTTCACTATACCAGCATTGCTTTAGTCTTTCATCTATGATTTAAGTGACAAGCCTATTTTGAACTGTCAGTATTTTCATTAAAGTTGGCAAACCTGTCTGTTAATTTTTATCAGTCATCTAATATATATATATATATATATATATATATATATATATATATATATATATATATATATATTTTTTTTTTTTTTTTTTTTTTTTTGCGTTGCATAAGTTACAGTTCTGGAATATTTGTATGAGAGATTGCAGGTTGAACCAAAATGTTGATCGTTTTGTTTTTTTTATGCTGTCGTTTTGCTATTTATTTCCCTAAACAAGTCAAATATTACGCTAACGTTTCCCGACCGATATTTCTTTGCATGGAAATAGCCTTATTTCTCATCATAATGGCAGTACTTGATTTTTTCCCAACAAATTTCTTTATTATGGATTTCTGAAAAAATGGCTGCATCCACAATCAACAAAGAATAGAGACTGTGTAAGCAAACATTCGTCAAGAAATTTGTTGGATTTTAGAGCACTTATAGTGAATTGTAAATTAATGTCATCACAGATCTCAAGTATAAGTATGTGAGAATACATAATAAACTGCTGCATTTAATGGCAACAACGTTAGAATTACCATTGTTATTTGGAGGCGTTTGTCTAGCTCACTGCTAAAGTCGAAACTATGGTCATGTCGTTATGGGTAAATATATCCATTGATTGCTTACAGCACAGATAATGTACCTCTATAAAATTTAACCTTGCAAATGACTAGTCAGTTTAAGATGAAGGTCTTCCAACAGATAAGCCAGTCTGAAGGAGACCTCGACCGACATTAGGAAAAGAAATTACAATGAAACCAACTCAATGGGTGAGGTCATAATGCCAGGTTTGTTAAGTGTTAGTGTTACAGATATGTTACATTAATCAACAATTCTGACCGTTTACTAAACACCTGTGTAACACCTATGTTAGTGTAGCAGATCTGTTGAAAACTACAGTTCCTGTAACAGACGGTGTTACACCAAACATCTCTGTTACATAAAATGTTAAATTAATCAGAGCAAACTAAAAGTGTAAAGTTTAAATTTTCAATTGCTTATCAGTTTCTGAATGGATAAATGAGGGGTTATCACAGAATTATTTTATCTTATCTGCTTTCGATATTTAGCACGTCAGAAATAAAACATTTGAATTCCTCTTAACTTTAGAAAGTTTAACCACCAAGTGGTTAAGCTGGTGTTACATCTTCAAGAGGTCAAGACTGAATATGTTAGTGTTAGCAGAGATATTTAGTTTTGGCCTAATTTCTAGTAGCCTCCTCAGTGAAGATTATAGTTGAGCCTGATTTGCAGGCTATTACACTCGAGAGAGCCCAAATTACAATCGTACAACTGCTGTTAATTGAGAGCCTGTGTAACACACCAGGAAGTGGGTCGACATGGGGCTATCAGCCTGTTAACAACATGCTGCAGCCGAATAGCAGGATGGTGACCACATGTCAACAGACTGTTTACCTGAACTCCATGTTTTCTTACCTGGGTTAACAGGAATGTTAACAGATATGTAACACTAACACCTAACACATAACATACCTGGAATTCTGACCTCACTCAATGTCTTCTAGAGGATCAAGTACACATAACAAACGAGTTATTACAGGAATTTATCAATGTTCACTTGATAGCAAGATGTATGACGTGTCTTAAAGAATCATCTATCTCCTATGCTTAATTTCGTGGTGTTATTTCCAGTATTCGACCATCTTATATTTTTAAATCTACATGCACTATATTGTCACTAAATATTGCACGTCACCATACACGTTATGCATTCAACGAAACGAATGTCAGCAAAACCTCTCTCTCTCTCGTTATCACACAATCATAGGCCCTATACGTGTACGCGTTTTCACTTACTTTCTCATTCCTACTTTCTCTCTTACACACACACACACACACACACACACACATGCACACATAAATAAACTTATTATATATACATACATGCAAACATAAACAAACTCACACCTCCAAATCTGGCTCGGGCGATGGAGCTGTCTTGCTGGCCCCTTCCATTGGCAATATAACACACATGTTCATGTAGTCATCTGCAGTCTTCGGTTTACCAGCCTGAACTAAGACTTGTATGTTAAATAATACAAGACTGAAGATCAGAATTGTCTTCATTATCATACGCGTGGAGTTGAACAAAATGATGTGTGATCCTCTTAACCCTCTTATCTGTGTTATATTGACAGTACCTTGTCTGACGTAGCATTTGGATCATTGCTGTCAGGGCCAATCAAACTGAAGTCATGCCGGTGACAACATTACTAACAAAACAACAGTGCACAATACGCAATAGTAGGCCGTTAGACGTATGCCGAGAGAAGACTTTTTACAAACATATTTTCAAAATAATCCAATACGTGAGACGAGAGGCTTAATCCTGAGAACGACATGGCTGAAAATATACACAGAGTCAACATACTTTAGAGGGTAGAATTAACGAACATTTTATTTGATTTTAGTTGTTTTGGTTCTAAAGTGGGTCTGGGTTCTGTCTTTGGACTGTGTAAGGGTTCTGATTCGGGCTTTGAAGAATAATATTTTTTAATTCACTGGCGATAAATACAGCCATATACATCATTATGACCTAGATATAGGACCAATATATAATGATATGAAGAATGGAGGACATAACCTCACCTTGATCTAAGCGGGGTGTCGGTCAGTGTCGGCAATGTCAAAGAAATGAGACCATTGCATAACAACATTTGCTTCCAGTATTGCTTGTTAAGTTTTTGGTAGGGTTCATGCCGTATAGGATAAAAATAGCTTCATATTTAGCAAGATTAACTGAACTCAATAGTAAGAGAACTTGGTTTTGTTTAGGATATTATGTCATAATTTGTTATTATGTTCATCATGTAAAAAGCATGGTAATGGAGTAAAAAAAACATTTTGCAGAGTGGGTTTTATCTGATTATGCAAGGAGATTCTACAAGCGCACAATTACATTCAATTCAAAATTTAGCCACAAAGCGGTTTTATGCGGCAGCCTTTTCCTCGGCAGCAGCTTGAGCCACGGCTGTATTTGGGTTTGGTTTGGAGGGATCGAATGTGAACACCATGCAGGGTTCAGAGTCTGGGACCACCTTGTAGACATCGTGCCATACGGTGGTGCAAAAGTCGGCGGCGGAGCTGTAAAACTCTTTGTACTTTTTACACACCGAGCCCTCCTTGCAGCTGTTGATTTCTAGGGATAAACACAATTTAATATTATTGAGCATGGTTATGTTTCTGGTGTATGTGTCTACCTGCTGGGCAGTGACTCATTAAGACAATTTTTCTGGCATCGCTGTTTTTGTTGCAAGCTTCACTTTATTATTTCTTTTAAATGTAGTAGAATATACGATGTCAGGAAAAAGTCATAATTTACAAAGGCGCCATCTGTATCAATACAGGCCAGCCGTTTAAAAAGCACATCTGTATAAATCAACCAAAATTCGACATTTTTCCTATTGATTTATTTTAGGAGATCAGCATGAATCAGATGGCATCACTCACCGCCCCAGTCCATGTCAGTGATCCAGTCCCTATGACAAGTGTATTCCTCTTTACAGGCATTCCACCATTCTTCACACAGGCTGGCACAAAGTGGTACCTGATCAAGGAGCTCGAAATCCGGCTGTTCATACTGTAATGGAATGGTTAAATTTGGGAGAGAGAGATATGTATTTCAGGTAGCTTGCTCATAACTTCTCTTGATATATATATATATATATATATATATAAACTCAAGGAAAAAAGAAACGCAACATTTTAATTTTCTAAAATTCCCATGAAATATGAGTATTTGGAAAAATGACTTAGCATCATGGTTTCACTCTAAATAAGGCTGAAAGATTTCTTGGCTCCGCTTCTATATATGACTGGAGAGAGAGAGAGAGAGAGAGAGAGAGAGAGAGATGGTTTCAGGGATCTTGCTCATGACTTTTCCACTTAATTTTCACTTTATACATGATGTTTACCCATCCTTAAAATACTTACACAATATTCCCCTTTGCAACTGCAAACATAAATACACGATTTTTTTGTTCGGAGCACATGTCAGATACACAGTATTTTTATTTAAAAAAAGTATATTTAGCAACGCGGCTAAGTGCAACTTATCTCTTCTTTACATCCCGACGCATACAAACAGAGAGAGAGAGAGAGAGAGAGAGAGAGAGAGCAGGGACACACAGACGATCCAACAGACATCAGTAATTGTACGTACTGCCTTGATAATCCAAGGACCAAGGTTTGGTGAACAGGCATAGAAGCATATATCTTGGTGCATTAGTCTCTCACATTCCGGTGACAGACGTGGTTTCTCTGGACAGTGGACGTAATTAAACATTGAATTCCACACATGATTCTCCAGAAAATCTGCAGTTGCGTTCGTGTTGCAACAGGACCTTTCTCGGAAACTTGGACACTAGAAAAAAAAAACACTTAGGTCGAAATAAACGCCATGCATTTGACGCAGTTTGACAAGGCCATTTACGCTTTACATTTCAGTAATACGAGTAAGTCCAACATCTTGCTTGTCGTATCGAAGTACACGCCACCTGATTCTTTTGAGCAGAAACTGTGGCTTCTTATGTTATTATATATGATAGGTTTGAACGATTGTACATTTAAGATAAGGCACGTTGTTAAATTCTATAGAGATATCAAAAACAGGAGAAACGTGCAATTTAAGGAGAGCTTAACAGGTGCTTTAAATCATACACTTTGTAACATAGAATGTGATTAAAATAACCCGCAATAAATTGAATACTATCTAATCAGTTTATAGAAACTGTAAGCACAAAGTTCATTCCTTTTTTTTTTTTTTGCATTTTTCGCTCTCTAATTTGCAAATCTTGTGTGAAAACAGGGGTGTCTGGCGTCACTGTTTTAATCATCCTTGAATAACAACATGTAAGGTATTTATAGAGGTTTCTCTCATATTCATGTACCATTTTTGTCTACGTCTGAACAAAGGATAATTACCAATGTCTGGAACTGATGTTATAAAACAGTTCACTGTACCAGCATAGCTGCTTTAGTCTCTGATCAATTATTTAAAAAAGCATAAAATATGACGTGCTTTTTTCAACTGTCAGTCTTTTCATTTAAATGGGTAAACTTGGCTGTTCATTTTAATCAGTCCTGTAATGTATTTTTTCACTTTAAGGTACCCGACTTTCAATGCACAACAGATAACAGGTGGGCCAAAATGTTGCTCGTTCTATAATCATAAATATATCAGGTAGGCCAAAATGTTGCTCGTTCTAATCATATATATTGCAGTTTAAATATTTTTTGGTGGAATGACATAAAATATTGCTGCATTTAATGACAGCAGCGTTACAATGACATTGCTTTGGAGCAGTTTATCTAGTTTACTGCTAAAGTGGTGACTAAGGTCCTGTCGTTATGGGTAAATAGTATCCATTGACTGCTAACAGCTCACATGCTGTACCTCTATAAATTTAATCTCACAAAACAATTCAATTCTAGATGGTCTTCTAACAGTTAAGCCAGTCTGAAGGAGACCGACATTAGGCTAAGAAATTAAATTAAATCAAATTTTATGTTCTCCAGAGAATCGAAGACACATAACAATGTTCACCTTATATCATCCCTACAAGAAATGTTTTTTCAACTATTCTCAGTCTCTTGTGGTTTTCTTACCAATACTTGACCATCTTATATTTGTAGATCTACATGTGCCATTATTGTCACTATTACACACCATCCACATAATGTATTCAACGAAACGAATGTCAGCAAAACCTCTCTCTCCCTCTCTTTTAGTCACAGAAACACACGCGCACGTGTTTTGACTATTTTCTCTCTCTCTCTTTCTCTCTCTCTCTCTCTCTCTCACACACACACACACACACACACACACAAGCACACACAAGCACACACAAACATACAAACACACACATGCACGCATAAACATACATACATAAACAAACTCTCACCTCCAAATCTGGCTCGGGTGATGCAACTGCCTTGCTAGCCCCTTCTATTGGCAAGGTAATACACATGTTCATGTAGTCATCTGCAGTCTTCGGTTCACCAGCCTGAACTAAGACTTGGATGTTCAGTAAAACGAGACTGAAGATCAGATTTGTTTTCATTATCATACGTGTGGAATTGAACAAAATGATGCGGAGTCCTATTTTCATTGCTATATTGATGGTCACTTGTATGACGTAGCATTTGGATCATTGCTGCCAGGGCCAATCAAATTGCAGTTGTGCCAGTGACAGTATTACCAACAAAATGGTGCACAACACGTAATAGTAGACGGTCAGACGCATGCTGAGAGAAGACGTTTACAAATGTATTTTCAAAACAATTTAATACGAGAGACGAGAGGCCTAATACTGGGAATTATTGACATGTCATATTTCAATGGTGTATTAGTCACCATAAAGGTGAATTACCACTGTCACGTATTATGTATGGAAGGATATATCATCACAAGACAGAAGGCAATATGAACTGAATAACAATGTATATATTAATACTTTCACACGAAATTAATGATTACACAAACAACAATTCTTTTTGTTGAACTTGAATAACAAACAACTGTTTTAAATATTTCTGTTTATCCGCCATCGTGTTACGATTTATACATCATTGTGCTACGATTTGAACGATTTGAATTTACTTTCACAAAGTTCAAGCTTAACAAGGTACAGATTATTGTGCCAATCCCTAGACGCGATGGTATGGAATAAAAACATATAAGTGTATTATTTAATCTTTTTTTCCGGCTGACATTGCTTTTGTATATACTATGTGCTACCTCTTATTACAAGAACCACCATTGGTTCTGAACTGGGTACGGGTTATGGTCTGGGCTCTGGTTCTGAATTGGGTACGGGTTCTGGTCCGGGCTCTGGTTCTGAATTGGGTACGGGTTCTGGTCCGGGCTCTGGTTCTGAATTGGGTACGGGTTCTGGTCTGTGATCTGGTTCTGCATTGGGTACGGGTTCTGGTCTGGGCTCTGGTTTTGAACTGGGTACGGGTTCTGGTCCCGTTGCCGGTTCTGAAGTCGATGCGGGTTCAGTTCTGGGTTCTGGCACTGGTTCTGCTCTAGGTACAGAGGGTAGAGAAGGTTGGAGAGACTCACTAGTTTGTATC